GTACCAGGTGTTTTTGTGTGCAAAAAGAGAAATCGAGATAAATCACTGCAAAACCTTTCGCAAGGGAGAAGTAAAAATAACAGATTGAGATGTGCCAAAGTGTGCAGCCAGACCCACGTAGAAGTGGAGCCCACATGCAGCATTCGGGTGTCTTTGACGTCATGGCTAGGAAGAGAGTTTTTGTGGCTCTACTCGTGATTGACCATCTTTATACCTGATTTCATGTTGCTCAGTGAAACGGGCATCAGGGGCTGATTTGTGAAATTTTCGGCGTACCCCTGAAATGAGCAAATTGACCAAAATGGCAGACTTCCGATCTCTTTTCAGGCTTGGCTGTGGCTTCTTGAGACTTTTTTTTGTGGGTCTACTTCGGCTAGAAATGTTGCAAAGTGAAACGGGCATCCAACTCAACTCAGTGACCTGAAATATGTCTCCAGTGAGGCAACGGAGCCCTCAGGGCGGGGGAATATCCTGGAGGAGAACACTTTTTGGCAAGGAAGTGAGATCGAGGCCTACATGTTTCCGTTCCGCCGTTTGTGATGAGGAATGTGACTTTCACTTTCCACTGAGCACCTGCTGTATAAATGCACCCCGTGGAGCGGCACGCAGCATCACACCTGCAAACAAGAGTCAAGGATGAAGCCTCAAGTGGTTGCTCTACTCCTCCTGGCACTGGTCTGCCTTCAGCCAGCAGCGGGTAAGCCCAGCGGGAGACCACGTTTGTCCGCGTCGTCCCGTTTCTGATGTGCTTCCTTTTATTTTTCTCTGGGCAGGTGAGAAGCTGGTAAGCTGCTGTCTGGACACCAGCGACAAGTGCTTCCCTCGCCAAATCGTGGTCAGCTACTACCACCAGGAAGCCGGCAAGGGATGCCAACACAGCGCCACCGTGTAAGTTCTTTTTTAAATGCGGTATTTCTTTCAATGTTTGCTTTTTAAATATTCTCATCATTAAAAAAAAATATTTTACTATAAAAATTATATGATTTATATAATAATAATATTTATATTTTATTATCTGCAAATGTTTTTGTCATTTTTTTTAAAACATATTTGCTTTAATTATCTGCAAATGTTTTTGTCATTTAAAAAAAAACATATTTGCTTCATATTTTTTATTTTCATTATGATAAAAGTTTTCTTCTATTATAAAAAAGTCATGAAATATTTGTGTGTTTTAAAGATGTTTTTTGTATCTGTTGAGCGGGAACAAAATTTCATCTGTGCTGTATGTTACACATACGTACAGCACATTTGACAATAAAGTTGTATTCAATTCAATATCTTTATTATTTAAAATTTTGTTTTATTTATGTTATTATTGTTGTCATCTTCACCCTTCACGTCTTGTTTAAATTCTTTTTTTTTTTTTTTTTAACTAAAGTTTGGGTGTTTTCCATCAAATAAAATGCAGTCTTCTATTCAGTACCTAGCATCGTCGATCCAGTCATAAAGCTTTTTTTGTTATATGTCGAGTGAATGAAATGTCATTATTATAATTTATTATATCTTAATACATTCTTCTGTCTTCTTCTTTTTCTTCTCCTTCTTGTAGTTTTATGTCCAAGGCTGGCAAAAGGCTGTGTGCCCCGGCGGCTCATAAGAGCAAGTGCGTTCAAGAGCTGGTTGCCTTCCTGGACAAAAGAAACAAGAGCAAAAAGCAATAAGAAGTACGAGGGGAAAAAAAAGATGATGTATCAGGCATGACTTCATCATTTTGACTTTGAATGTCCGTTATCTTCCATGGCCGTTAAATTGTGTTTTTGCTGTTTAAATAAAGTTGACTGACATTTTAAATGTGACTGGTTTCTGTTTATTTTGTGAAAGATTTCTGACGTTAAGTTTTTTTCGCACGCTTCTGCTTTCGAGTGTATGTTTAAATAAAGTTTTCTTCTTAATTCATGCTGTGAATGAGTTTTGATTGATGATGTCACATTTTTAAAAGTTTTTCATCCTTTGAAATGACTGTCGTGTTTATTTTCGATGATTTAAAAAAAAAAACATTCTGCTATTTGTCTTTGAAGTGCGTCACCTGTCACTCCTTATGCGGCTGAGATTATTGAAATAAAGTTTGAGGACAATTAAAAATATCCAGTTGTAGGTTAGGCACTGACGAAACACCGTAGCCACGTTCGGGAGGGGGTTTCATCGCATCGGTTTTGGACAGGATGCGTCTCAATTTGAACCACTCCAATCGGTTTTGACTGCCAGTGACGTCATTACGCGACGCAAGACACAATGCGCCACACCAGAGAGCGCCGGTCCAAGCGGGCAGTGGTTAAAAAAAAAAATAAAAATAATAACAAAATGGAGCTCATCGAAGATCGTCTTTCGTCTATTGATTTTAGACCCACACTTATTGGGCAATGTTGGCCCTGTGACTGACGAATCGGGGCGGGAACTCAACTTTGATTGCGACCTCCTCTTGTTTCAAGTTCTGGACTTGACTTTTAAAAATATGGTAAAACTGACTGACCCTTCCCACACCCGTTCTCAATGCTCCATATCAACTCGGTTGCCTAGAGGAAACCCACTTAGTTGCAAACTGGAATTAGACGAAACCCCGCAGAGTAGAATGGTGGGTTAAGTCCGATTTACTTTGTGAGTCTTCTCTCGAGTTCTGCCCCCTCATTTGCTGGGATGTGTTGCAGCAAGATTCAGAAAACGTGTAGAGTGCTGAAATGGTGAACCCCGTACGTTCAAATTGCAACTCAGCCTTGGTTTGGACCATAATGACAAAAATGGAGTCACTCCGCTGTGGTTCTCAATGGTTCATTTACCCCCCAGAACATTTGGACCCAAAATGAAGAGGCGTTCCCTCTCGAGCGCATTCGGTTGGCCCATGTCAGGCTGTCTGTCATCCTTCACCTGCAGGAAGGCGGCGTGGGATGGAAATTCCACCGCCCCCATGCTGGATGTGGATGCGGGCCAGCGGGTGCAGTCGTGGAAACATGACATGGCAGGGATTTGCCCCGAGGGCTGGTCGAGTGGGAAGGAAAGTGAAAAGAAGTGAAAGTGAAAGTTGGCGTCAACGGGCATTTAAGGGCCGGCGCCATCTCGTTTTGGGTCACAAGGTGCAGTCATGACGCCAAACCACTTCGTCGGCTTCTCCCTCATCCTCTTCTTCTGCTGCTGTTGCACAGGTCAGTTTATTTGGGACAACTCGAGTCCGTTCTCCCAGTTTTTTATTGATTTAAAGTCGCAGTGCGAGGCCAACTGGAACCAGAAATCATTCAAATGCCACTTGCGTGTTAATTTATTACACTGCAAATGATACAGTGCACAAATTATTGAACCGATAGTCAGAAATCAATGCATTTTTAATAAATTTCAGTGATTTTTTTTTGGTCTAAATCACTGACAGCATATTTTTTACGTCATGACATTTTCATGGATTCACATTTTGTCACTGTTTGAAAGGAAAGTGAAAAGAAGTGAAAGTGAAAGTTGGCGTCAACGGGCATTTAAGGGCCGGCGCCATCTCGTTTTGGGTCACAAGGTGCAGTCATGACGCCAAACCACTTCGTCGGCTTCTCCCTCATCCTCTTCTTCTGCTGCTGTTGCACAGGTCAGTTTATTTGGGACAACTCGAGTCCGTTCTCCCAGTTTTTTATTGATTTAAAGTCGCAGTGCGAGGCCAACTGGAACCAGAAATCATTCAAATGCCACTTGCGTGTTAATTTATTACACTGCAAATGATACAGTGCACAAATTATTGAACCGATAGTCAGAAATCAATGCATTTTTAATAAATTTCAGTGATTTTTTTTTGGTCTAAATCACTGACAGCATATTTTTTACGTCATGACATTTTCATGGATTCACATTTTGTCACTGTTTGAATTCGTTTTATGACAGTACAATATTTCATGAAATTTTTTACTGCATTGGTGTATTCCAACATGACTTTTTTTGTATTTAAATGATCAAGGTTATTAAATGGTATTTTAAAAAATGCATTTGGTATTCGTTTAATAACATTATTTGAAGCCATGATATAATTGAGATGTTAATATTGGCCTTGTTCATTTAATAACATGATTTAATTGGGACTTTATTCGATTGAATTCTTTATTTTATAGATTTGTTGAATGGCATTTACAGTAATTGAACTTGTAATGACATTTACACGTCATTTTCCATGAAAAAATTTTGAATGGAACTCATGCTTTGTTGAAGTGATTTGATTAACTTTGAAATTGAGTTGTAATTTAAATTTTGTTCAAGAAATCTATTGAATGACGTTTTTAATTGAGATGAATTTGGATATCATTAAAGTTGTAATGATTCTATTAGACTTATACAAAGATGTGCTCGTCTGTGTGTCGTGTATTAATTATACCTGTGTGCTGAGTTTTCTGGGGTTTTTTTTTCTTCAGCGTTGTACAACGACAAGGAAGCTATTCTGACTCTAATCGCACGTCCCTGTCATTTTGTTGTCAGTGTCGTACAGCCAGATACTCATCAACTGCTGCTTGTCGGTCTCGGGTGAGAAAATGCCGATCAGAGCGCCCCTGGTGGACTATGACCGTCAGGTGGCCGGCTCCGGCTGCTCCATTGACGCCATTGTGTGAGTTTTGCTTTTCGGACTTGACGTTGCCATGGCAAACGGATCCTGATGCGAAGGCGACGCTGTTTTTCAGTTTTTTGTGCAGGGGCGGAGCCAAGCTTTGCATGGCCACCGATGCTCCAGGGGTGCGAAGAGCCATGCGACGTGTGGACCGCCTCAAGAAAGTCTGCCGGAACAAGAACTACAGGGGGGCTCGGTTGAAGTTAATGAGAAGATGCTGAATGAGAATCATTTTCAAAATTAAATGGCTGTCATTTTTTTGTCCCTTCAAGGCCTCCACACAAAAACGGTTGAGTTGATTATCCAACTAGTTTGACAAACTGAAAAATGACATTTGTAAAGTGGACTTTGTTTTTCTGTCCAAAATTTCCAACTTTTCCACCAAAACACCAAGAACACCCCCCCCCCCCCATATACACGCAGAGTCACATTGTCACGTGGTCACACTTTAGTTAGCCACATTAGCCGGTTAGCATTATACATACACAAGAAGATGATGATGAAGATATTTACAGGCAGGGCAGGCGGGGCCAAGACAGAGCGACCAATCACCGATGAGTGTCGCCTTCATACGCTTCCTGGATAATAACATATTTACACTTGAATACCGTTGGCATTATTAAATAGTTTCAACTGTACAAGAAAAGCAAGCAAATAAGCTAACCTTCTCAATAAAGTGTCCGAACAGTGCAAAATTCCCTTCTTTTTTCTTGGATGCTAGCTTGCTAAAAATGAATTTGAGCCATTACTGTGACAACCGGGCGAGCGGTTGGGAGCCGAGGGGAAAATCCAGGAGAAAATCAAACATTGATACATTGAAAATGATCTGATCCTGGGTGAAATGGTCAACTGTGCAATGTTACATGATAACGTGCTAGCATTTTACAGGCATAGAAATTCCTTGTTACTGATGGCTGAGGCATCCCATTTTGTTTACGTTCTTAATTTTCAAACGCGTAAAGAGAAGCTGACTCCTTCACAGTCAAGTGTAAACAAAAAACAGGTAAGCTAATGTTGCTAACATACTATGAACTTTCCTCTGCAACGTTTTGATGTTTGCTGTTCCTCCGGAGCACTTTGTCGCCAAAGCGCTAACCTTAATAAACTTGTATGCTAACTATTGCTGACAAAAACAAAACACATTCAAACACTCGAGGAATCGTCAGCAAGCAACTACCGCCCCACCCCGCCATAGGATGGTTTTAGCGTAGCATGCTAAGCTACTTGGGCTAACTCCAGTGACGTTACAGGAAGTACTATGTTTCCTTGATGGTGCCATGACCATTCATATTCATTTGACTTTTATGATTGAAGACACGATTAATTGACAACCGCACATTTGACGCCCATTCCTGTGCTGTCCTCTAGTGGAGAATCGGAGTATAGCAGCCTCAGTCTGTGACATCACGATGGCCCATCCCACTTACACACACACACACACACACACACACACACACACACACACACACACGGAAGTGACTACCTGATGTATCTGTATTCACAATATTAATAATAATAACAATAATAATATTGGTGGGCATGATGACAGGTCCAGTTGGTGTGCGGGTGTCTTTGGGTTACGGATGTTTGCATGCTCACGTGTGTCAATGGAGACCGCTTCTTATTTCCTGTGGAGGGACTTCCGAGATCAACATTCATAACCGCCACTAGAATTCCCAGCAGCGCCGCAGCTACCATTCGAGCCGCCACCGGCCTGGCTCTCTCCCATGCTGCAGAGCGAGACGTAGACGATGGGCACCAGGCCCCGAGCGGCGCCGACAGAACAGAGCAGCCAGTCGGGATCGGCCTTGCTCAGCACACGCAGGATGTCGCCCTTGTTGAAGCTGAGCTGTCCGGCCTCCGTGGCGATGTGGTGGCACAGCGCTCGCACTTCGCTGAGGGAGGAAAAGAACAACTTGAGCCCTCGTTCGTGCCACTTCTTTCCAAGGTCACCGTGTAAACGCTGCCAACGGTTGACCACAAGGAAGTGTTGTGTTTTGGATTTTAATATTGCACTTGACAAATTAAAAAAAAGCTGAAACTAAAACCAATACTAATGGGAAAACTAAACAAAAATGAAGTATTTCCCCCGGTCCCCAAAAATCGCTCTTTATAAATGAATTAAAAACGGGAATGTCCCATCTTCTCTGGGTACTGTGTGAAAGGCAAAGATAACTGACAGTTTTCTAAAAGGGACAGTCATGGAACTGGGGAGGTTGGCCCTGACCCGCATATTTGCCAGGTCCAGAGGGGTGAGAAAAGATGATTTAAAAATGACACCGACTCAGGAGCGGATGGAATTAGGAGAAGGTTTTAGGCCTCGGTCTCTGATGCAATTTGATTTTGGGGGTGGGCAGCAAGTCGGGAGTTTTGGATTTTGAAGATGTTCATACCATGTCGAGACTTTCGTCTCGCTGGGTTGGGTGTCGTTGGGCGAGACTGCCCCAGTTGGGTCGTTGGCAGCCGCAGACTCTACCTTTTGCCCACCTCCGGCACCGACGGTCTGGGCCATGAGGCCCAAAACTGATGAGTCAAGGCCAAGCCAGCCCGACGGCAGCCTGGAAAATACAAAGACTTTTCTTTTTGTTGGAGTGAAAGTCTGCCTCTGCCAAGGCTTCATCATCAGAGGAGAGCAATTAGCTTCGCCGGCGTATTTGGGTTCATTTTGAAGGTACCTGCTCTTGTGGGCTTTAGCCCTGGCTTCACTGCCGTCCGTCTTGGTGGGAGAGCCAACAGCGGCTCCAAACAGCCGCCCCCAGCGCAGCCCCTGGTCCCGAGCGGCGCTCTCCAGTCGGACTTCGGTGGCCGGACTGCCGCCCGCTGTCGCCTCCTGGTTGAGGATGGACTCGGGCGGGCTACCCATCCAGGAGGGTCGCCCCCCGGATCCAGACTCGGCGCCCTCCACCACGCCCTCCCTGGCGGGCGGCGGGCGGCAGGGGCGGCGCTCCGCTGACGTCCTGCGCTTGTCCGTCCTGGCAAACTTGGAACCCTGTGCGGACTGGTCGATGTAGACTTGGGAGGACTGCATGAGCTGGTACCACCATCCGGCCTGGCGGTCCTGACGCTGCCGCCCCGCGTCCGTTGCCGCGGGGTCTTTCCCGACATGCGTTTCCTCACTTTCTTGCCCCACTCCCTTCATCCTCTGGTCACCTGTCCCTCTGTCCTCGGACCCGTTATCGCCCCCACTTTCCCTTCTGGAGGCTTCCGTCCTGGGCCACGTGCCGCCTTGCCTCAGCGCCGCCCTTTCCTTCCCGCTGACCATGTCGCCGACGGCGGCGCCCCAGCCCCGCATCAGCTGCAGGGTGGAGCGGGCGGTGGACTGTCCCGCCGAGGAGAGCAGCTCCTTACGTCGCCTCTGCTGCTCGAGCCCCGTGGCCAAGAGTCGGGGTTCGAACAGGAGGTCCAGGTCAAACGGGAGGAGCGAGAGGGGCTGCAGCAATAGAAGGAGCTCGCTGAACAGATGCTGACACGCACCCTGAGCCAGCGGGACCAGGCCCCATGCGTTGTAGTGGGCGCCGATGATGTCTGCAACGGCCGTTGGATTTTGGAATCAGACCGACATTATCGGGAACATACTCCGGGAGCAAAGAGGCGACTGCAGTGCATAACTGGGTCACATTCACAGCTAGCCACGGCTAACAATTAGCTTGTGTTTCCTTTCTTTGCCGTGGACACCGTTTTACGCTTTTCGCTCGTCCTTCTTTCGAGGCCAACTTACCTTCGTGTGTCAGGAGGTGGTTGACCCAAAACTCCAACGACTTGATGCTGGAAAAGAAGAGAGGAGAGATGAACGCCAAGCACAAAACGCGCGTTGACAAACAGGAAAAGGAGGAGGACCGACTTGAGAAGGCCGAAGATGAAGGCGTTGAGTCTCATGCTGTGGCTCGTCAGCTCCGAGAACTGGCTCACCTTCCTCAGCAGTTGGTGGAGGACGCGCGTAGACGGGCCTGACGGACAAAAACACACACACTCGGTTTACGGGTGTGCCAAGCAAAGGGGGGTGGAGGGGTGGGGGGTGTCATCCTTACCCAGCTGCGCGGAGGCCTCCACCAGGCTCCAGGGATGACAGCGGCGCTGCCCGATGATCAGGTCCAGCACGTAGGCCTTGAGGCCGTCCTGCAGCACCTCGTGCAGCGCCGGGCATAAGTACTTGAGGATCAGGTGACCCACGTTGGGACTCACCCAGCTGTTGCCGAGTTTCGCCTGGTCCCGTCGAAAAAAACAAAACTTGAGCACGGGCGGACAGACGTCAGCACGGAAGGAACGGCGCGGTGTGATCTTACTTTAACGTCAGGGTCTCGACTTGTGCCAAAGTGAGCCACGATCAGATCTACGGCCGTGTTGACCGCCTTCACCAAACCTGCCGAAAGACATCAACATAACAAATCAAAGTAAAAAAAAAAAAAAAAAGAACGACTTACAGAGAGCACTGCAAAGCATGCTGGGAAGTAGCGGGGCTTCACTCTCGTCGCTAGTAACCTATTCGGGACTATATAGTATTTGGTTTTTCCTCCATACCAATCCTGCGTGAAATCTCACCTCTCAACATCAAAATAAAAAATCAAAATAAAAAAAAAAAAAAAAAGTACGACTTACAGAGAGCACTGCAAAGCATGCTGGGAAGTAGCGGGGCTTCACTCTCGTCGCTAGTAACCTATTCGGGACTATATAGTATTTGGTTTTTCCTCCATACCAATCCTGCGTGAAATCTCACCTCTCTTGTGCGTCATATCGACGGAGATCTGCAACTGGGAGGCAGCGGAAGATGAGGAGAAGGACGAAGCAGTGGAGGCGTCCGGCGAAAGGCAAAACTCCTCCGGCGGCCTTTCGGTCAGAGAGAAGTAATCCGGCAGGAAGTCGCCGTAACTTTGCTGCGTCTGCTTGACTGAACACACACACAAAAAAAAAAAAAAAAAATTACACGCGCAAACAGGAAGCAGATGGTCACATGACGCTCCCCCGCACCATGATGGCGTCCCGTCGGCTGGCTACGGGGAGCGGAAGGGAAATTGAAGACGTTGCGTCGGGGAGGACGCCGCGAATCCGAGGAGGAGACGCTAGCCGGTCTCTCGCCGCCGAGAGGGTTCTGACGTCGGTATTCCCGCCACTTCAATGCCTGGGGGGAAAGGTGGTGTGCTGCGGGGGTGTTCAAGGAGGAAAAGGTGACCGGGGGAAGAGGAAGAAGAAGAAGAAGAAAAGACAAACGGTGAGAAGAAGGACGGACGAGATCACCCAAAAGGACAGAAGATGACAGAAAAGATGTTCCGAGTCCAAGGGAAGTTCTGAGGATGGCTTTAAGGTTTAGGTTCGAAAACAGGGTTTGGCTTCAGGTTATGGCCCGCAGGATGATATCGTCATCATCAACCTGAAATTTTCAAAGTAGGTTGGCATTCATGCAAAGATGTTCATGTGGCAAGAAGGCCAGAGAGAATCTCTCCTTGGTGGAGGTAAGAAAGCGAAGCGGCGTGAGAGCTCGTCGAAGTTACCATTCTGCATCCGGACAGCTTTGCTTCCATCCACGACGCTCCCGGCCTTGAGGCAGCCCAGGGGGCTGAGAGTGTCCCGGTGCACGGGCGGCAGGGTGGGGGGCGCCACTCCCCTCTTCGCAGCCAGGCCGGCGGGGGGAGGGGTGCGGGGCGGCGGCGGCGGCCCCGTGTGCGCCCCGCTGTGCGGGCGGCGGGAGAGCGCGGGAGGCGGAGGCGGCGTCGGGGTGCACGTGGAGCAGGTCCCGGAGCTGGCGGCTCCCTCCTGAAGGCGCGGCGGCGAGTAACTCCCGAGGGGCGACGGCCGGACGGGCCCGGGGGGAGCCGTGGATCTGGTTAGGCCCCCCCGATGCTGCTTGTTTTCAGCGGCGTCCTCGCCCTCGTCGTCGTCAGTGCCGCCGGAGCCGGAGCGGGGCTGCATGGCGGGCACGTAGTCGGTCGGCAGGGGGTGCAGGGGCTTGGGCTGGGGGGGCTTGGAGGCCAGCTGGTGGTGGAAGGTGAAGGGCTGGATGGGGAGGGAGGTCGGGCGCCGGTCTTTGCTGTAGCGCACCACAGCTGGATGGACGTCAGACCAGCTCGAGGGGCCGCCTGCATCAAAGGGAGCAGAAACGATTGGTTCGACTTGCTGACAAGAAAGCACCAGAGTGTGCGTTCAAGTGACGGGAGTGGGCGCGTTCGAGGCAGGAAAGTGGTGAGAAGTCCAAGGACGACAGTTCGACGTCAACCGATAAGATCATATTTAAAAAAAAAAAAAAAGATCCTCCAAGGAAAACAAAGAAGAAAGTGAAATGGTTGCCATTCGAAATCAGTAGCATGAAAGCAATGTCATCACTTGACAGTCAGGAGTGAACACGAGGACACACTCATTAGCTTAGCTTAGTTTCGCTCTGCCACATGACAATCCATAAGATGGGGGGGGGGGGCGTTAGACGTCATGAAACTGCTCAGACATCGAACACACATGCGCGGGCGGAAAAACCTACGGGCACAAAACACACAGACCTGAGGGTCCGACATCGGAAGAATTTCTTCTCTCGATACACACCAAGTGTGTATGCGTGCGCGTGTGAGACGCCTCATTGCATTGCGCAAGTTGTTTGTCAGTCGAAAGGCCGACCCGCGATCACTTGAGATGGGTGCAGCGCTATTGGCTGCCACACGGGGGCAACATTGAGATATCGCGGCAACGGTGGAAGAGAGAAAGAGAAGGAAAGGAGGGTGGAAGGGAAAAAAATGACAGGAAGGAGGGGAGGAGGAAAGGAGAGAAGTCAGGAAGGAGGAAGAAATAAAAGACGGAACTAAGAATGTCAGGAACAAAACCAGGAAGTGAGGATTGAAGGTATGAAGGAGGACCGAAGGGCAGGGAAACAGAAGGAAGGGTGGAAGACAAGAAGGACGGAGAGAAGATGGGAAAGAAAGGAAGGAGGGAGGGAAGCGGGGACGAAAGAATTATTCCAAGACGGCAGTGAGGAAAGAAGAGGAAAAGTGGCAGAAAGGAAGGAACTCTTTTAAGTGAGAAAGGAAGTCTGGAAGAAAGGCTGATTGGATGGGAAAGGAAGAAAGGAAGGAATTAAAAACAGTGGGAAGGAAGGACATCAGGAAGAATGTCAAGGAGGGAAGGAAGGAATTACGAAAAAATGGAATGAAGGAAAAAAGGCAATGAGGATGAACAAAAAGGGGGAAAGGACAGGTGGGAGGGAAGGACGACATGAAGGAAGAAAAAAAAAGCAGAAAGAAGAAAGGCAAGAAGAAAGTCAGAAGGAGGGAAGGATCAACGGTGAAGGGGAATGAAGAAGGGGGGGAAAGGAAAGATGGAAGGGAGAAGAGAAAAACGGGGAAAAAAAGGAAGGCAGAAATCACAGAGGACAAACCTTCAGCGTTGGTCTCACTGGTGGCAACTTGGGCGCAACAGGCCGCGGGGGGCGCCGCCGCCGCTGCCGCTGTTGCGCCCTCCCGGCAGGGCGAGAACTCGGTGGAGGAAAAGGGATCCGCCTTGAGGGACGGCGAGCCGCCGTGCCGCCGCTTGCTGCGGGCAATCTCGGCGAAGGAGGTGACGCGGGGCGGGGGCGGCGGCGCGGCCAGGGCGCCGCCCCCTTCGCTGAGGCGCACCGGGCAGCTCAGCATGCGCTCCAGAGAGCCCAGGCGCGGCCCCGGCGACTTGTCCAGGTTGCGGTCATAGCTGCGAGAGCGCGGCCTGCCGGTGGCGGCGGCGGCGGCCTCCGGGGCGCCCCGCTCAGCCAGCGGGGGCGACACGTTGACGTACACTTGGCCTTGGAGCAGGACGGGAGGAGCGTCTGGCTCGTCGAGCGCCTCCTCCTCTTCATCCTCATCCTCATCATCTTTCGTGCGGATGTTTCCAGGCGGCTGGAAGAAGAGTGTGAAATGCAATTAGGGCCGTTCCCTGTCCGCCTATCGGCATGTTGCACTCCGTCTATCTCTGCCACAACTGTGAACCCCCCTGAGGTATGTAGGTGCACATTAGGACCATCAAAGGCAAACGACACTCTGACTCATTTCGCATGATTTTGAATCACACGCGAATATTTGGCACAACAGACGTTGCCCAAATGTGGTGACCAAGCGTCACGGATGTAAAAATAAATACAAACATCCGTCTCGGAGAATTCACAGGCAGCATCATGTGACAGGAGACAAAGAAAAAGCAGAAGCCAATTCCTTCTCTCCTTGCGCCGACTCCTTTTAGTTGTCCAATTTGTAGAGAACAACGCGAATAACACAATATAAACAAAGTATAAGTCAGTAAGTAGAAAATAAAGATAACTAGCAGGATTTTATAAACTCACAGGCGGCCGAATAAAGTCGTGGAGGCAAATTATTATTCATCAAAAAAACAAACATATCTTGCCCACTCTATTAGCCAAGGATGTCAATGCAGGTTGAGGCAAATCAGACACCATGCCATTATTTTTAATTACTCTATCCGGCTACAAAATTATAAAGCGAAATTAAGTTAAAAAAAATAGAAAAATTATTCATAAAAAAATTTATAAATCTGAGTCAAAACCCTAAAAACAACAACAACAAAAAACCCGAACACAAAATCCGAAAAAAAAATCTGGATAAAAATTAATAATCAAAAATAAAGCAAACAAATGAAATACAAAGACAAATTAAAATATGCTTTAGTCCAACAAAATATATCTCTGTATACTTCGAAAATCAAAATCAAAATTGAAAATCAAAGTCCCCAATAATTTTTTTCATACCAATAAATGAAATTGTCCAAATAAAATCGACCACCCACCGTCATTGTCTTTTCATCCTCCTCTTCATCTTCCACTTCCTGGTTGTCCCTCTGCCGGAATAGGAAGTACTCACTGGGCCGCGTGGGGCTGGAGGGGCTCGCCCCGCTCTGCTCCTCGGAGCCGCTGTGGACCGACGACCCGGCGGGGCTGGGCGAGGACTGCGACGACAGGTCGCAGGTGACCAGCTTGTAGTAATTCTGAGTGGCCACCACCAGGCGGGCTTGACTCTGCAGGCAAGACACCGGCCCGCCCGCGGAGCCGCAGGGTGGCGGACAGTAGGAGTTGCAGTTGCCGTCCAGCTCCAGGGCGGCCCGGTGCTCGGCCGAGCAGGAGCAAGCGGAGAAGGCGGATTGCGGAGGCTCTCGGCCGAGCGGGAAGGTCTGCGGAGGCTCCGCTGGCGATGTGAGGAGGTCCAAGTAGAACGCGCCCCTCGTTGGGTCCTGCTGGTCAACTGGCGGGGGGCACTCGGCGGGGCTGTTCAGATTGCCCGGCTTCTCGGGGACGCCGTTGTTCATCTTGTTGTAAATGGTGCTGAAGTTGACCAGGACGCCGTCCGAACTGTTGCACGACGAGTCGCTGCTGTAGCCCTGCGGGCACTCGGGGAAGGCGTCGGGGAGGTCCCGGGGCGAGTCCCGGCGGAGGCTCCGGGTTAGCGCGCAGCAGGAGCAGTGCCGCGTCGATAAGCCGGAGGAGTAGGAGCCCGTCTTGCTGCTCCGACCGCACGGCATGGGATGATCTCCGTCCTCGTCGTCCTCCCAATCGTGCTCGCCGCAGTCCACCGACATGTTGGAGCCGCTGCTGCCGTGCCGCCGTCCCAGCTCCGGCGGGTCCGAGTCTCGGGTCGCGTCATTCCGATAGCATGACTCCGACGCGAAGCCGAGGTCGTGCAGGCGGAAGGGCGGGGCGACGCCGTCGGTCTGGCTGTGGAGGTGGAAGGAGGAGTCCTCGTGGTAGCCACTCAGGTTGTCGTCGTACTCGTCGTCCTCATACTCGTCGTCGTCGGTCTTGATCAGAAATGGGTTCCGACGTAGAGGGTGGCGGTTCCTGGTTTTGACTCGGGGTAACGTGTGAGCCGCGATCAGTTGCTCGTCGGAGATGCTGGAGGTGAAAGAGGAGTCGTCGCTCGCCGTGCTGCCGCCGCCGCCCTTCCTCTCGGGTCCCCTGCTGTGGGCGGAGGTCTGGATCAGGCTGCTGTAAAGCAGCGCCTCCCTCTGGAGGATGTCCCTCTCTGGGAGGGAGGTGGTGCGACTCAGGCACAAGTTCTCCGGGGGGCTAAATGGGTTGCTCCTCTTTAAGGAGCCCCCCCCAACACCGCAGAGCCCCTGCCGCCGTCCCGACACCTGGCAGTGCACCAGGGGGATGTGGTGCACAATCAAGGTCTCGCCGGACAGCTTCGGGTGTCCGTCCATGGCAGAGAAGGAGCGCGGTTGGGACTAAGCTGAGTGTGCGCTACGTTGCCGCTCGGGCTCACCGGCGGCACGCCGGATGGAGCTCCGGAACGTCGCCGGGGACTTGGAAGGAGATGTCGGGGAGGTTGAGGGCATGGTCAGAGTGATACACGAAATCAGAGACGGGGAGAGACATCTGGAGACACAAACCAAGATGATGCGTCACTAGTTTTACATTTTCATTTCGTACCGAACACCTAGTCTCAAGCATCAACTATTTGCACAGATCAACTAACTGTACTCATCAACTTACTCACACACGGCATGTCATCTAGTTGTGTTGAATGAGTAGTCACGTGTCAACAAGTTATGCGCCGGTCAGTTGCGCACATCAAGTAATTGCATTTGTCAGCTTCTCACTCTCCTCGATTAACCATGTCAACAATTGGCACAAATGAACTAGATGCGAATATCTACCTGTCTTACTGGTTTACTCTTGGCATCTATCAACTACTATTTCTTGTCAACCCTTAACTACCAACTAGTCACACAGGTCCTCTACTCACACAGGTCAACCAATCACATGCGTCAAATGGTTGCACGTGTCAACTAGTCACCTTCCTCAATTAGTTATGCAAACCAACTAGTTGCATGGGTCAACTAGTAAATGTGTTAATTATTCACATGCATGGAGTAGCATCTCGTCAAGTATTCACGTTGTCAATCAGCCACACGGGTCAAGTTGTCGCATGGGTCAACTCGTCGCCCGCGTCATTCAGTCAGAAGTGACACAATAGTCATGTAGGCTTGAGGGCAACTAGCTACTCTCGTCAACTAATTGGACGAGATAACTAGTTGCATAAATCTATCAATTTGCCAGTCCAGCTGCAAGTGCCAAATAGTTTAGATAAACTAAACTCAATCAAAAAGAAGAGAATCCAGCCTTCTCACCAGACAATTAGCTGTGTCTGATTAGTATGTTGGCAGGGTCTCTTTGGCGAGAGGACAATCTCTCTTACATCACTGCGGATGTACTTCCAGGAAAAGGAGCAGAGTGGGACGTGGGCCAAGTCCACCCCACCCACCGCCCACCACCCCAGACAGGGATTCCATGATTAGAAGTCCCAGTTGTCGTGCACCAAGGCAGCACTAAAAGCTGCTAAAAGACGCGAGGCTAACCGCCAAAAGACATAACATGCCAAGCTAATGTTGGCCATCACTGCGTTAACTCCACCTTGACTTGCACTTAGAAACACCCTGCAAGTCACGAGCTGCACTCCACCCTACTCGTCTTGTTGCCAACTAGTCTATTTATGAAGCAGTCTCTCAAGTCAACCCATCACAATCATCAAACCGTCACAACTGCCAATTAACCACTCTTAGCGTCGACTAGCAACAAGCCATTCACTGGTCTAAACATTTCCCAAATGCCTTGGGTTTTGTTCCCAAACCTGAATATGTGCATCAAGTAGATTAGCTTAACGTTGCTTACATAAGAGTGGAGTACCATCGTCACTAGCTGCCATGGGCTAGCACCCCAGGTTAACATGACCCTGTCTCGTGGACAATGAGGGCATCGGGGAGACACGCTGCAGCTGTAGGAAACTATTCATAGACATACAACGGGCCTTCGTGAGTGACATCAACACACACCCTGACACACACACACACACACACACGCACACAAAATTGAAAGTATGCACATCCGCCCAGCGCAGGCTGCAGTTATGTAACACAAGGAGAAATACTTCAAGAGGCGAGCAGCCACTAAAAGCATCTTGACACTGTCTGCAAGACAGACGCAGACCACTTGAAGAGATTCACAGATGACACGGCACCTAGTTGCACTTTTCAACTAGTCACACGTTACCAAGTTGTCATCGAGTGATTGGGCATGAGTCGCGCCCATCAATGTGGTTATAACCGGCAAAAACTAGTCGCACTACTCCACTGGTCACATTTGCTGAAAACTAGTCACACAAATGGAACTTGTTAGCAAGTCACACTTGACAACAAATAGTTGCACGTCTAAGTTGTCATGCTTGTCAATACATCAAGGTTTCACTTAACGATGAGTCACACTGGTAACGTTCTCATCAGCTATGCACACTCTTCAATTTGTCGGGCCGGTTACTGTCCTCAACTAGTCGCATTGGTCAGTCTTGGCAATTTAGTGCAATCATCAACTACAAAGCATACGGGCTACACACTAAATGGTCAAATCTTCAACTAGTTTCCCATGTACACTAGTCGCATTGGTCAACTAGTTGTCGTAGTCAAAGTTGAGTTTACATAACGTGTAAGTGACATAACTGCTGCTGCTCAAGAATCCAGGTACACACATCAGCAGGGATTAACCTACATCAACAATACATTCGACAATATTCCTGTACCACAAGGTACGTCCAAGTGGCACGTCCGTCTTGATTTCAAAATAAAAGAAAACAACGAAACTATCCAAACACTCGGAGCTCATTCGAAGCCTGTTAAATTGAAGACAATTTGATCTAGAACGAAATGGTACTTTCGTTAATCTAAATACAGTAATCGTTATTAGATGACTGGTAATATGCGTCAGAAACCTTACAGACTTTTATTTTCAAACATGACAGCGGAAGCACTATTTACTGGTTCAATGTAACTTCGCAGCTGTTTGTTTCTGTCATGTAGAGATCAATATGTGGTCAAATAGAGTCTTAGGCCCTCTGGTGGGTCATTAATCGAACACCGTAATCAAATATAAACCGATAACGGTGTGTTTACGTCTCATAAGCTGTTGACAACATAACGTAACAAATCACGTTCCTGGTAGTATTGGCACAAACGTTCCTTTGTTTCAATGCGATAAAAAAAGACCCAGAATATGTACGCCACCACAGAACCGAACTCTGGTCTCTTTTCAAACAGAAACCAAACCGACGTCTTCCACGACGACAAACGTTGTCGTATAAAACCAGACGAGAAGATGGAGGAATGTGGAGAAAAGGACCTGAGAGGGAGGCTGAGAAAGGCGTCGTCCGTGCGGTACGATTGAGTCGACAAGCCTGCCGGGCCGAACCGCCCCGAACGGTGCTTCGCTTCTATCTTTTTTACCCTCGACGATGTCGACATCAAGAAAAAATTGAAAAGACTCACCTTGTCACGGATGGTCGTCGGTGGAGCGGAGGAGTCACTTATCTGGGTGTACACGCGCGTGCATGTGCGGCTGCCCGCCGGACGACGTCGACAGAGATGCTTCTTGTCGACTTGGTGGACAAAACACATTGCGCATGCGCCAGGATGGGACCGGTTTATCTAACCCGCATCATGACATTCACTTGTGGCCTTAAAATAGATTGTTTTTATTGTCATTATGCCTAATAATAATAACAACCTGGCGTGAGAGGCGTTACTTAAAACATACAAGTTTCAATGTAAAAACGACGGTTTCCAGAATGTTCCGGTGTGATGTGTTCGCCCATGTCGTCATTTATCTCTGACGTCACGGGTGGGTCTATTTCAGACATACCGACAAAATGAAAAAGTAAAAAAAGCCGAAGCAAATTGCTGATAAGCGTGTGTTTAAAAATGCAATGAATGTCGGAAACACAGTTGTTCAAGCACTGTGAATGTCATTTCTCGTTATTCCCCACTAGATGGAGTTATACTACAATAAATGCAACGTAAACAAGAGGAGTGATTTAAATACACGTGGTGGCTCACTTAGAAGGCAGCGTAATCGCGCCATTGCCTTGGTCATTTTTATAATTTTTTTCTGAAAAAAAAGAAAAACGCACGCACACAAAAATCAACCAAGAAGCAGCCTCGGTTCAACCTTTGCAGATAATGTAATGTAACTCAATATAAAATGAACACGACACTTTTTTATCACACAACGTCTGGGTTAATAATCACAGATTAATACAATTTAAAAGTATGCAGCATAGGTAAGTATTATTTCCCATGGTGGCTATGTTTATAAACGCACCCCAGTTCACAGAAAACAATGCAAATGCCGAAACACATGAAAGTTTCAAATTCCGAGCTCTTCACGCCGTCGTTTGAATGCAACAGAAGAACCGCCCAGCTCGTCGGATTTGATCCTCCCTTTTAATCGTTTGCGCGTGTGCGCGCGCGTCAATCACAGTGTGACAGACAGCCAGTCATTCCCGCAACAGCCGAGAGCCGCTGTGACAAGAAGGCGGCAACAATGTCGACTTTTTTAGTCCCACTTTCAGTCCACGCTGAGTGGCGGGACTCGAACGTGTGTGGAGGCTGAGGATGTGCAACAAGTGACTGAAGGAGCAAGTGTGCGACTCCTCAAGACACCCAAAACAACCCGCTGCGATGTCGCTGCTGTGTGTCAGAGGTGAGCGTGTCCAGCCGGTTAAAGTCATCATTACAATTCAGGGCTAATCTGCTAGTTGTAAGGGTGAAGTTTAAAACTCCGAGTGTCCTCTAAGTGCTCCACCTGTTCCATTTGCCAGTCGTGTGGAGAGGTTGACCGGATTTTTAAAATCAAGTAAAAGTACTCGCACTTCAGCACTTGACGGCTGTGTAATAGACAGTACAAATGTGCCGAATGATTGGTCATTCTCAAACCGGTCGATATCGTTATGGTTTTGGCTACGTACTGCTTATGTTATACTCGTTTTCATTTTTGCCTGTGCTTATTAGCATAGTTGTGGGGTGAAAACTAAAATAAAGTAAAACTACTCACATTTTGCCTGAGAGATGCGTAATGGTCGGGTCTGTAGAAATGTAATGGCCGTTTGTTATGGTTGCGTACATGCTAGCCGTAAGCCACTTATTTTCGCTTTGGTGCTCGTCACCTTAGCGTCTGCTTGGTAAAAGTACATTGTGTATACAATTAATTGTATTGCTCATGGTGTTGTCCACCGAGTGCCTTACTATGTACAGGTAGAGTAGAAAAAAAGCTCAGGAAAAAGCGCTAGTGATGTGACGAGTTTCCGATTGGCGTTTTTTTTTCCACCACGCCCTGACAGACTCAACTCAACTGTATTTATAGAGCATAAAACAGGTTTGTGCTGCCAGCACACACACACACACACACACACACACACACACACACACACACACACACACACACACAAAGAAGTGTGTGCTCTCATTGACGCGTGGACACCATTCATTCACAATACCATATTTTAACAAACTGTTGCTAACATAATTAGCATGTAGGGGCTAACAACTAATGTGAGAAATAGTCAGAGATTCCCAGAAAGCCTAAAATGCTTAATGTAAGAAATCTGAACATGGTTTAATGTCAGAAAACTATGACCAATCGCCCTCAAAGTATATGTGCACATCTCTACCTATCAACCATGTCTGAAAATATCAAAACGATCGCACTAATATTTGAGATTTTATGGACATTAACATTTTCCTCTTCATAGGTGCCCACTCAAGCTTAATGTTGCTTATTGAGAAAAAAATATTGCGGCGTTTTGATTAAAGTGGGAATTGGTAGAGATGCGCATGTTGGTGGTTATTGGTCGTAGTTTTCTAACATGAAGGTACATTCAGTTTTTTTATACGCACATTAAGCGTTTTCCACTGTCCCAAGATATCATTTGTGAAAAATACAATGAAATCCACTTAAATGTGACCCCAGGTTATCATGTTGTTCAAATTGTCTCCAACACCAGGGTGAGCTGGCGGCGTTTTTTGTTGTTGTTGTCGTCACTTTGTCATCTCTGGACACGTGTTTGTCAGCTTTGTGTGATTGATGTCCAAGGCCGGATCGCGGCCCTGCCTGACTCGTCCGTTTCTAGGCTACTGAGACTGCAGCTGTGTCCGCTTTTGGATCAATAAAATATGTATGGTCCATCTTCATTATGAGTGTCCGATAGACACCGATATCACGCTTTAAACGTCTCAAATGTTTCCTTGTGGGGACAAAGAAACTCCATCTTGATAAACCGGAAAAACGGCATCTTCACACTTGGTCTCCCCTTCTTCTTCCGGCTTCTCAGGTATGGGGCACCTTGAGAACAAATCGAATTCAACTCAAAATGTTTGTATGGGGTACTTCAGTTCTCTTTAGATGTCATTGTTATCATCTACTACGTCAGGTGCTACCTCTTGGGCCAGTCTGAAACTGCAGCATTTCTCACAAAATAACCAAATGTTTATGGTTACAGCTACAGAACAATCGAAACAAAACAAACCAAAAAAAAAAAATCAAAAGAACAGGAAGTGGAAAGTGAGAATCAGAAGACCATCATAAAGTGGCACGCGACCACTAGGAAGCGACAGGTACGAACAGGAAATTACCCCCAGGAAGAACAGGAAGTGAGGTCGTAGGAGGATGAAATAAACAAGGAAGTAAGCTTCCTGCGTGGTGGGAGCGGGTCAGCGGGTAATCCCTTGGCCATCTGCTGCTGTTGTGTGCCTGTGCTATTTTGTGTGTGTGTGTGTGTGTGTGTGTGTGTGTGTGTGTGTGTGTGTGTGTGTGTGTGTGTGTGTGCGCGCATGTGCGTGCGCATGCCATAGTATACGACGTGTGCGTTGGAATGTAGAGCTCACGTGGGCCGGTCATCTCATGATAATTCCATTTCCTGATCATCAAAGTTGTCAGTGATGTCATTCCCGCACATCATGTTACTGACGACCACTAAGAGGTCTTGAAAGCGTTCATGACAGCAGGTTGCCAAAAGCTGATGATGCTAAAAATAAATTCCCGCCTGTCTGACCGTCTGCCATGACTCTTGGTTTTTTTTTTTTTTTTTTTTTTTTATGTGGATATTTTAATGGGGCAGTGACCCAACACAACCAGGAGGTGTGAAAAACGTTCCCACCCACCATGAAATGTTGTTTTTCCATGTTTTCCGAAGCCCAGTGTTTGCATGACTAGCGTGCGCGCATTGAAGAATACAACATCATAATTCTCTGACCATTTAATCCCTAGCATGACTCATCACATGATCAGATTATACAGTTATTCCCTCCCTCAGAGGGTCCGTGTTGACTTTTGCGAAGTGGTCTCGCAGCTCAGTGCAGTCTGCCCGCGAGCATGCCGGTTAGCTTCGCCGTTAGCCTCGGTGTGGCGCTTTAAGGCATTATCCCGTCAGGATTATCTGTTTGCAAACGCCGGCCCGCTGTCACACAATCGCAAGCACGTGCGCACTTGTAACCCGCCTCGACCGCTTCCTAATCGCAGCGTGGCCCAAAGCCACGCTAACCTTTGATTCCCACCAAGTGTCTGACTCAACTTTGACGGCTGTGGCCAGTCGACACGGAAGAGTCTACCTGCCTAACTATTTCCCTCCCAACGTATCAATTTACTAACCTACCTACTTATTTGCTTCCTTACGTCGTTACTTGGCCACTTGCAGTACCGACAGTAGCTATTGTAATTATCTTACACTTTCCACGGTGACATTTGGGTTTAGGAATAACTTTAAACCTGACATCAAAGACAGTTTTTGTTTTTTTTTTGAGGGGCGGAGTGTTGCTTGCTTGCTTGTCTTATTTTTTTCAGCATGTTCATCACTTTTCCACCATTATTGAATAAAACGAAACGGATTTGCATGGAAACCTCATTGAAAGGAGCACTTTCGCTTTAATTGCCAATTGACTTTTCAGGTTTGATGCCTTTAGTGAGAACACCACATGTTAAGCTTGATCTCACAATGATCATGTTTGATTGACAAAATGGGAGCAATAACTCAATTTTTTTTTTTTTTTTTGACAGTGAAGAAAGCCAAACTTCACGGGCCTCCAGGTGAGAGAGCTCTTTATGCTTGTTTCCTCTTTAATCTCTCTTTGCAGGAATAGAACCGTCATTTCGTATTGTTGCAGTTGTGACTTGTACAGTAGTACGAGCTGGCAAAGCTGTTAAGAATCAAATTAGCGTTAGCATTGGCTAACAATAACGTCACTAAAACCGCAGGCCTCAACCAACATTCAAAGTTGCAAATCACATTTTTTGCTCATGATGTCATCATGCAGGGACGTATCGACCACATGCTTGCAGATCCGTATAGCGCTCATCCAGATCCTGTGACTCAAGGCGCTTCGTTTCAAACTATTCCGGAAAAAAAAAAAAAAAAATTGTGGGAAAAATTGCAAGTTGTCCTTTCAAGACTTGGTCATTGAATGTGGTGTCCCCTCGCGGGAAACGTTTTGCAGTTGGGTCAGACAGGACGAGTACAAGAAGGAAAAAGAGGCGTCCCAGTCTGCTGTTCCACTTTAGCAAACTTAATAAGATTTTTTCTAATAAACGATATGTTCGGTCACCCAGGGGGGGCGGACGCTCAAATCCCAGAGGCGGAGATGGGATGTCCCTGGGGCTGATTGGCCTGGAAAATGTATCTAAAGAAGCCATATCCAAAAAGATGCAGAAAGACCGTCACTTTGGTTTTAATGAGCCATTTTTGGGTCATTTTGCCCATTTTGTATTGCAATAAAAGGCTCCAGTAAATATTGAAATTCATCTGAAGATTCTCCCTCCCCTTTGCCAATCTTCCATCACTGGTCATGGAGCATTTGCTACCCACTGAGCGTCGACTAAATGTCATCTCGGCGGGCTGCGCTGCACACGTCCATGTGTGACCGAAATATAACTTATTTATTTCATAAATGGTCGAAGCTTTATTATAACTGACGCCCGTTGCTCCCCCAGAGAGGCCCGCTGCAGCCTGCTGCTCATTGAAGGAAAGCGCCTATTAGTCAAATACACAAACCAGGAAAAAATGAACATGATGTGTCAAGATAATGAAACTCACTAAGTGAATGATGGATGATTCGCCCGGCATGAACTCTTTCACCCGCCAGTCGCCAGCCTGCTGCATTTTATTCCTAATTTTATAAGAATCTAGTGCAATCACAGCACGACAGGGAAAATATCTCAGTAGAATTCCAGGCCAGCCTGGAGAGTACATTTTTATGCTTGCCCCTTGGCAAACCTGATTTATCATCATTAAAAAATGATAATAATAAAATAATGATTTCATGCTATCTTTTATCTTGACAGATAAGTTCAACGCCTACGTGACACTAAAGGTTCAGAATGTGAAGAGTACGACCATCGCGGTACGCGGCAACCAGCCGTGCTGGGAGCAAGACTTCATGTTGTGAGTGGGAAAACAGATGCTAAACGCTAACGGGAGCAGCTAACGTGCCGCTTCCCTTCATGATTTTGATCTTTGTCAAAACACATTCGGATAACTTCCTGTTAATGTTGACGAGGCCAGACGCTGGTGGTTGGTTGTGCTCTGAGGACTCCTGTGGCTACATGGCGCTAACATGCTAATTATCGCCGCTTCTCTCATTAGCGGCGGTAGGGCGCGACAGGGGTGGGTGGCGGTTGGCGGGGGCTGTTTTTGTGAGTGGCCTCCTGCAGATGACAGCTGTCAATCACACATGACAACGGCACAAAAAAGCTCAGGAAATGCGTGTGCGTGTATGTTTTGTGTGAGTGCGCGCACCCGCACACGAGCTGTGATGACTGACAACCAAAGTTAGACGATGTGAATGTTCTAAATACTGTATGTAAATGAAGAGGTCATAGCCTGGATGCTGCTTCTGTCCTGAAACCTCAAATTGTACTTTGGGCCACCAAATTGCACCAAAACGCAGTGCTTGAGCTAAACAGTCATCTTCTATCTGCGCTAGATAACTTGACCTTTTAGGACAAGTGTCGGCATTTGAAAGGTGACGCTAAATTGGAGTTGTTGATGTCTAGGAATTATGGCCTGCCTGAAAAATTGGTCGGTATTTTTAACAGTAACTTTTCGAGGTAGCACCGTATTAATTTTTGTGTTTGTTGTGTAGTGAGATCCGTCATCAGGATTCCCCCCTGGTGGCAGAATTGTGGAACAAGGGTTTGATTTGGGACACTTTGATAGGCACGGCGCTCCTACCGCTTGATGCCATTCACCAGTCCAACGAGGTAACACACACACACACACACACACACACACACACACAGAGGGCCTTTCAATGTCTTGCGTGTGTTCCAGGAGGGTCCTGGCGAGTGGACTTGTCTGGACTCAGAGGTTCTGATGAAGGCAGACGAGATCTTCGGCACCGCCAAGCCAACTCCGCACCAAGTGCTCCTGGACGCACGCTTCGAGATGCCTTTCGGTCAGTTGCCCTAACACAGGCGTCGGCAACCGGAAAAAGACATTTCAACCGTCAAAATAAATGACAGGATGACCTGCAAAAACGTTTTAGCATCTAAAGTGAGGATAAATTAGGATTTAAAGTAGGGTTATAAATCAGAGTTAGGCTTTTAAACCTGGTTTAAGGTTTGAAAGTAGAATTTGAATCCTGGGTTTGGGTTTTGATTTAGTCTTCCAAGTCTGGATTTGGGTTTAAAATTATGGTTTCACACCAAAGTTGGGGTTTCAAATTCAGGTTTAAAGTAAGTGTTAGAGTTGCAAAATGAGGATTTTGATCTTGGGAAAGGGTTTCACACCAAGAGATTAGAATTTTAAAGTAGGAATTTAAGACATCGTTGGGGTGGGGGGGGTTTAAATATTTTTGTTTGTTTTATACCGTATTTTGTCATGGAATTTATTTATTTATTTATTTATTTTATGGTTGTGTTGTTTCGCAGACATGCCAGAGGACGAAGCTCAATATTGGACCCGCAAACTAGATCGCATTAACAACATGAACATGGACGAGCAGGACGTGAGTTCGCTTCTTTTTCCTTTGCTGCATTCTGCTGACACCTACAGGCCAACACTGCTCATGACATGTCATGAATATGAAATGTGCCTCCTTTTTTTTTTTTTGCCTCAGTATCCGCCGCCTGACAACCCCATCGACAGGGGACGGATGGCGTCCGCACCCTCGCCGTGCTGTGAGTTGCAAACTTCCATCTTCTTTAATTCGTAATAATTCATCTGCACTCAGTGGCCACTTCATTAGGTACTCCGCTGCCTGAGCTCCAGTGCAGTTCCTTCTTGTGTTGAGTGTCAATTTATTTATCAGTGAGCGTCTGCATTGTTTCCATGTTTATGTTGGTGCCTGATGATTCTTTTTTTTTTTTTTTTTTTTCTCAAGTATGATATCACTGTTTTGCTTCTCACCTTCTTTTTACAAGTGTACAAAAAAGTTAAGCACAGTTAACGATGGTCAAACTTTTATGACTACTTTCAAAGTGAGTCTCGCCAGCGTTAGGGTTTAACATTACGGTTTGAAGCCTGGTTCGGTTTTCAAATTTGGGTTTTAAATTTGTTGTAGTGTGTTGCATCAGGGTTAGGGTTTGAAGTTAGTGTTTCAAAACAGGGTTGTGGATTAAAACTAGGGCTTCACGCTCTAGTCTCATGGTTTCCAATATGGGTTAGGCTTTCAGAAGTGTTACAGTTTTAAATGATGGTTTCAAGTTATGGTTTGAAACGAGGGCTTGAAACCAGAGTTGGGGGCTTCAAAGGACAGTTACAAGGCAGGTTCATTTTGAGTTTCAAACATGGGTAAAACAGTCTTCAAATAAGTATGTCTTTTCCGGGTTTGGGTTTCAAATTTGAGTCGTAACTGTCACATTCACGTCAAACGGAATGTCTCCATCGAATGAATGCACAGAATAAACGTCCTGTGTCCCTTCTTCTCTTGCTCCTCCTTTTGGAGGGAGTGTTGCAAAAAAGCCTCACTGTCAACATCATATCTGCTCAGTCATCATCTTCATCTTCATCAGTGGTCTTTATTTTGCGGAGTGACTTTGCTTGTTGTTCTTGTGGTTTTCCTGCTTGCTGGCCCCCAGGCAACTGGACTTATTTTGGATGGACTGACCAGCAAAGTACGTACCTACATTTTAAAATCGGCTTTCAAGTCCAGGTTCGTGTTCTCAACAAGGGGCAGGATTGCAAGCTAACTTGACGCTTTCAAATGAGCCTCTCAAGACAGTGAATGATTTCAAACAAGCGGTACATTTTTTAAGTCTTGGTTAGGGTTTCAAACGAAGCTTTCCAATCTGGATTAGGGTTTCAAATTAGGGCTTCAAGATTTGTAAAGATTGAGTTTTCAAGTATGAGTCTCAAACTAGGTTTTGAAGCCAAGGTTAGGGTTTCAAATAAAGGTTTGAAATTGGGGTTTCAAGCTTTAATTTGGGTGTTTAATGGCTTTCAAATGTGGTTTTCTGGCTTTAAACAAGGATTTGGGTTTTCATATGGTACAATGCAAGTTTTGGAGTTGCAATACACATGTTCACCAGCAGAGAGAAGCATTTCTCTAAATACACTTTTCATCCACGTTTCTCAGTAGTCTGCAACCTCACGAGATACTTGTTCAGCTGGCTTAGTAGTTCATGCAAATTTGATCAGAAAAGAAAAAAAACGATATTTTTTTAAATGAAGAAAGCAACTCGGCGAACGTGCCCTTTTCCCAACGGTGTTGTGTAGCTTGTTGTTGTCTTTAACACAGCTTTCGACGACCACGACAGCGCGATGGATGACCATGACAGTGAAGCGGGCGTCCGAGCACTGCCTCCGCGCTACCACAATGCCTCGCAGACCAACTCGTCGGCCCACCAGTACCCTATCCCGGGCCGGGTCCAGCGCCAGCAGGTCTTGCGGGACTCGGATTCTGTGCACAGCTTTGAGATGGACTACCCAAACCTTCGGGGTTCCAGGTAAACAAACACGAAGTACTGTGACTTTTTTTCTTTGTCTTCCTTTGCTGCTTTCTTCTTTTCTGTCTTCCATGTTAAACATTTTCTTTTCTTTGCGTCGTCTTTCATTGCTGTCACACTTTTTCTTTCCCTTTGCATTCCCGCCCAGGCGGTCAAGCAGCAGGCGCAGTGTAAGAATAGTCCCGGTGGACTCAGGCATGGGCGTAGAGGACTGGGAGGGCCAGTATAAAGTGCCCGACACAGGAGTCCTGGATGACTATTTGGACCAGGAGCAGAAGATGTGGGAGGACGAGGATGAGAGCATCATCTATCGCCTCACAGATACACCAGCAGCGCATGAGTCCAGAGGCAGCAGATTCTACCAGACAGTGGAGTGCAATACGCTCTCGCCCGAAGACAGCGAGGTGCACCGCCGACCACCAAGTTTCGACACTGGAGACGTCCGCTTGGTTTACCGGGAAGCCGGCAGCTTTGAAGACGAGTTGTCACCTCCCGAGATCGACATCATCCCGTCCATCAAACGTCACCACCAGCATGTGGACGGGGAAGGTCTGCTCTTTAAGACCAGGTTGTGGGCCAAGACTGCGTTGGAGGACAGCTACGCGGCGTTCCGTGAGGAGGAGGCATCCCGAGAAGTGGCCAGGATCAGGAGTGAATTTGGATCTGTGGGTTCTGACGAAATGCAGTACTCCTTCGGATCAGATGAGGAACTTGAGGACCTGATGCTCAACGAGGCGGATGTCACATACGAATATGACTCGTACCAATATCCAAGCAGGTATGCGCCCCACCTTGGAGGGTTCACAATGGGACCAGACCCGAGCATGTTGCCCGAGGATGAGTCGTGTGAGGACTACATTGACCCGATGGATGAACTCAAATGCTTGGTTGACTCCGTTTCGCAGTACTTGGCCGTGAAAGAGGAGGAGCTCATCAGCTATGAATCACAGCAGAAACCGGTGAGGCGAAAACTTCCATCTCTGCCAGTTGTGCCACCCGAGGAAAGTAAAAGCAAGGACGTCAAAGCCGAGGATGTCGAAGCCGAGAACGTTGCGGGTGTTAAAGATGCCATGACGTCATTTTTCAATACAATTACAGGATCCAAAACCACAACTGAAGCAGAGGCTTCAGAGCTTCCCAAGGCTCCCGCTGCTGAAGGTGGTATTTTCAAATTGCTATCCATGATTCCAAAAAGTAGCCCCGAAGCCTCAGAAACCTCTGGGGCGTTGTCCGCAGACCCACTGTCCTCCAAGGTCTTCCCCCAGGCTGAGTCTGGCATCTCCAAGCTGCTTTCTTTCATCCCCAAAAGCGGCGGTACGTCCCCGCCTGTGGCCATCGTTCCCCCCGCTTCCCAGGAGCCCACCACCGAGAAGAAGTTTTCCCTGCAGTCTTTCATCCCTTTCCAATCATCAGAATCCTCTCAGCAAGCTGAAGCTAGCCAGACCTCCACAAGTACTGAGGCCCAAAGTATTAACCAGACCAGTTCTGGTTTAGAATCTGTGCTAGGGAGACTTAGTCCAATGAGGCTGTTTTCCAGCACACCACCATCAAGAGAACCATCACCTTCCAGAGAGTCTTCTCCTCAAGCATTAGAACAACAAAGTACATCAGCTGCCAGCAATGACCGTGCAACCCCAGTCCCAAGTCCTAACAATGGTTCAGAAGCACAACCAAGATCTAATTCTGGGAGTGGATCCGTTGAGCTCTTTCCAGACACAGGAAGTGGATCAGTAGAGCTTCTTCCAGAGACAGAATCATCTGGTGAGTTAGCGGATATTGTGCAAACAACTCCCATGTTACCAGGACCAAAACCTGAACCCGCCCCAGAAGAAACAGGCTTGTTCAGTCCTTTTAGGAAATCTCTCTCCAGTTTGATATCCACTCATCCTTCTGAAAGCTCCACAACAAACCCCAAACCAGCAGAGGAATCTTTTTTAAGCGGCAAACTCAAGATCCCGTTCTTCTCCGCAGAAGATCCTCCCATCACAAGCCAAGCAAAACCCGAAGGAGGGGTTCTCTCTGGGTTTCTTAAGTTTGCCACCGGGGAGGACACCAGTGTGCAGCCAAGAAGTCCATCCCCTAGTCCCACGAGAACTCCCTCACCGATCCGCGCGGCACTGCTTGAAAGCGCCCCAAAAGGAAACACTGAAACAGGCTGGTTTTCAAATCTGTTCAAAGTGACTCAAAGTGAACCGGCAAAGGAACCTGCAAAGTCTCCGGTGACTCCCAGTGTGACACTCACCAAACCTAGCGGCATAACGGAACCACACACTGAGCAATCAGAGGATTCTGCTAGCAGGATAGAAACATTGTTGGACAACAATCGCCAGAGTCAGACTGATCTCCAAACTAAGGATCATCTAGAATCACGACCAGAAACTCCACAGCCTCAAGGATTTTTGTCTGGATTGTTGAAACTCGGCCCTACGGAGGAGTCTAAACAGACAAGAGGAGGGGAAAGTCAGCCTCAACAGGGTGGACTCTTTTCAGGGATATTTTCCTCACCATCTCCACCTTCACCTCAGACACAGACCCCTGTGGCTCAACCATCGGCAGGACTCTTATCTGGATTCTTAAAATTTGCCTCTGATAACATGTCGGCCCCGACAAATCAGCCACCGGCAAGAGAGCCACAGAGCCAGTCTAGCCAAGTACTTGATCAAGGACAAGCTGCAGGTGCGCAACCCCCAATTGGTGGACTGTTGTCTGGGCTCTTAAAAAGACCCACAGATTCTTCTGTTACTCAGCCTAGTCAGGAAGTGAAAACAGATGTGGCAAATGAAATGACTAAAATGAATAAAAATGAAGAAAACTTTTCTCATGGGACACCTCAGTCACGGGGTTCATCAGGAGAAATCAAAATAGGTTCATTGGAAAGTTCTACCCCTGACAAGCTGGACCAGCAAATAGAAGTTGCCTCAGATCATCAACAAAAACCACCAGCAAAATCCACAGCGGCAACACTACAGCCACCGAAAGGAACCTCACCAACCCAGGCTGCACAGTCAGCAAATTTGTTGTCTGGGCTTTTTAAAAAGACTGTAGAACCTCCCTCTGCATCATCTCAAACACAGCCAGCAACCCCTCAACAAGGAAGCTTCCTCTCTGGCCTTTTTGGACTTGGGAGCCAAGACCCAGCCCCTGAAAATTCACAGAATCAGGAACAAAGTGGAACACTGGGACGGCAACCATCTCACCAACCGGGCCTCAGACCGAACTTACACAGGCAAAACCAAATCCCCCCACAGCACCCCCCAAGCAGTCCTGCGGGGATGCTCACTGGATTTTTGAACAAAATTGCAGATGTGGGAACTCTGCCGACTGCCGCTTCGTCGGGTAGTCAACAAACTCAGCAAAAAACACCAACAACTTGTCCTAAAACAACCCAGCAACCTTCTAATCAACAAGGTTTCTTGTCCGGACTCTTTTCATCAAGTCCTCCTACTCAAATTCAGCAGGATCAGCAACCACCTGTGAGTCCTTCCAACAGACAACCACTGCGAAGGCAAAGACAGATACCCCAACAATCTGCAGCCCCTGTGGCAGAGCCGCAACAAGGTGGTGTTTTGTCAGGGCTGTTCAGTAAATTTACCACCGAAAACACACCACAACAAACAACCCCGCAGGGGGTGCTTCAACCGGGCGCTAAATCAAACACTGCTGGATCTCAGCAAAATACAGGTCCAGCTGGTAGCCAGGGAGGATTCTTGTCTGGGCTGTTAAGTCAAACCGCGTCTCCGCAGCAGCAACCGTTGAGTAAAAATGTTCAACCTGCCGCACCAGAACAACCCAATCAAAGTGGAGGCTTCCTCTCAGGTTTTCTGAAGCTTGCATCTGGTGAGAATGCAGCTCAGGAACATCATGCACCCAAAACTGAGGGCAGTCAACCCAGCCAACCTACAACCAAATCTGAATCGAGTGGCATATTTTCTGGCCTGCTCAACAAAATTTCAGCTAATGTGGAGCAAACACCGCCTGCGTCTGACCAGGCAAACCATAAAACGATTCAGCAGCAGCAGCCACTGCGCGCGGGACAAGGGCGTCCTCAAATTCAGAGAACAAAACCAGTGGAAATGCATTCCGCACCTGATGTGGTGGGAGAGGACTCAAAAGATCAAAAGGGCTTCCTCCCAGGTCTGTTCAGTGCCACAGAGGAGTCCTCCTCAAAAACCTCCATCCTCATAAAGGGTGAATCAAAACCACCCAGTACGAGTAGCACATCCCCTGGTCTGTTGTCAAGCATTTTTAAAACCGCCCCCAGTGACAAGACTGTTTCTGCCCATGAAAGGGAACAAGAAAAAGGCCTTCTTAACCGTTTGTTGCCCAAGACTAAGGAGGATACACCTTTAAGCACAGCAGCAGTCACATCTTCTTCTGTTACCGTTGCAGTGGGTCCCGACCCCTCAGAAGAACTGCCGCCGCGGGTTCCCACGGTGACCCCCACCCAGCGTTACCTTGAGGAAATTCAGCGTCTCTTGTACGGGACAGCAGGAGAGTATGGCTACAAGGATCTTTTGTATAACTTCACAGAGCACGGCGTAATTCCACCTGAGCTCTACGAGCACCAGTGTCTCATTGAGGCGCTCCTGTGGCAGCAGCTCAATGACTATGCACTCGCCGAGGCTCTTGCCTCTCATGAAGGCTACCGGGAATGCCAAGCACCTTTGACAGCTGCAGGCAGAGCGCCCCAGTGTGACAGCCACCCATGGCTTAGTCCTCAAGAAATGGATATTAGTCAGTTTAATGTACCGTCACATCCATGGAAGGATCCTGTCGCCCAACTTTTTGAGAGCAGAAACCGCTTCCTGGAACCGGATGAAGACCTAGTTTTGTTCGACATGAGCTGCAGGGAAAAGATGCCGTGGACCAGCTGTGACCACTTGGACGAACTTGTCAGGAAGCGCCAACCCTGGATTACACAGGGTGGGGGTCTAAATCTGTCTAGTGAAAAGTCAAAAAACAGACTAAACCGATGTCAGTCCCTCACAGAGTTCAACTATGTAGCGGAGAAGGCAGCAACATTAAAAGATGTGACAGTCGCCGACTTTAGTTTGAAGTCAGCTACAGACTTTTTAAAACAACTGGCCACCAAAAAAGGTCCGGTGGATCTAACTCGTGGCGCCATGGATCTAAGCACATCAACCGTGAGCTCGGTGCTCAGAGATGACGAAATGCTTTTTGAGGACTCAGAATGGTACCAACAGTGGCTGTCACTACTGGAACAAGGGCTCTGGTGGCCAGCAGAAGCTGAGGACTGCGGATATTACGTGTACACCAATGGAGACTTCATTTTTTCTCTTTTAACCGACAGAGCTGGTCGACACCTTTATGCTTGCGCTGCGCCAGACGACCTACAGACACTCAGTAACATTACAGAAAACATTGCAGACATTCTGACCCAGAAAGAACAGGAAAAAGTAACCTTGTGTGGATTTAAAATCCCGCTCTGCACGGAAGAAAAAGCTCCTTGGTTTCCAGAGCAACTGAACACCAAATCGGGGCTCCCGGAAGCTCCGCAGGATCTCACCTCAGCCCTATGTAAAGGCGAGAAAATCATGAACATGAACTTGGAAAGTTTCTCTCAGATGTTTCAGGAGTCCCTGTGTTCACAATTAGAATCCCCCGTGGACTTCACGGTGTACAAACTCAAAAAGGTCACGGTGGGAGCGGCAGAAAACCTTGACAGCCACTGCAACCCTCCATTGGAAGCCGCCGATCTGACACTAAACTCTTTTAAAGCGGCTCATGGACAACCATACTGGTTGAATCAAGCTGTGAAAGATGTGCCTACATCCCCAGATCCACCTTCCCTGAGGTCCTTCCTGCCAACAACACCCAAGAAACATCACCAAATCCCTGAAATTAAGATTGGGCATGTGGATGATGTACCTGTGGACCAATCTCAACAAAAAAACAGATCTGTCATTTCAAGAGGAAACCTTTCCAAGTCAAATGCTGATCTGAATCAGTCTCATCCACTTCCGCCCTCCACCACTCCGTCACCATGCAAGCTCTCCTCAAATGTCACCAGGACCCTTCCCCAGACTTCACCAGCATCAAAGATACCTGAACCGATGCAAAGGAAACTCCCCCCTTCAGCAAATGTTAATTCGGTCCCTTCAGCTCCTTCGTCACCAATAGCTTCAGTTAGTTCGACCACCGTGTCTTCTTCTCTGAGACCTCGACTAGCAAGGCAGCACTCTCAGGCAGACAAACCCAGATTATCACCGCAATCAACAAAGACTGCGGTCGCTGGCCCTGGCAATGTCAGCAAAATCCCCTCCGCAGATGCTCCAGCTCCCATTCCGAAAGGTTCCTGCAAAGGAGCACCGCAGTTACACATTCTGAATCCCTGCGCAAATGCTGAATCCAAACTTTACAACAGAAACCATTACGTCGGCTCATCGACTGGTCCTCGGTCGGGTGAGAAAGTTTTGGACTTTTCCACCGCAAGCAAAAACAAAAAGCCTTCAACTGAAAAACATCTCCAAACGAAAGCATTGGAGCAAAAAATGGAGGTGGTTGACTTTTCCAAACACAAATTGAAACGATGCAAGGAATCAGAGGAAGATTTGGTCTTGACTGACAAGGTGGCTGTCAATCTTACCAAACAGAAGGAGGAGGAGGAAAAAGAGGTGGAGTGGCATTTTGCAGAAACTGCAACTATTTCAGGACCCCCGCAGACCTCCTCCGCACCCGCTGATTTACGTTGTACACGTGGAGGGCGATCATCCAGTCATCAGATGCATGACCAAAGTCTCTCTAAGTCCAAAAGTACCGCTATCACTGCGGATGCACATAATTACATTACATCATCTCCCAGGAAAGAGTCAAATCAAGTAGACTGTGTCACCCTGGTAGCAAAGCCGAACTCAATACAGTCCGTAGCAGCTTCTCCTAAGATGAGTCCGATTCCGATGCAAGTCTACGTTGAAGAACAGCAACCAAATTATGTTTTAAATGCGCATTTGCAACCACACGTATCCTTAATTAGCGACTGGTCATCACAGCAGTCTTGTGTCGACAACAGAACAACCTTTACATCCACTAACCACCCATCTCGTGAAAACCAGGAGATTACCACACCGTCAAACTTGTTTAAAGCTGTACTAGATATGTCTGCAAAGACCACAGCCCAGCCAAAGTTGCAAAGTAAAGAGACAAATCAAGTGGGATGTTTCACACAGACTGGATCCATACCATCTGCCTCATCTTTTCAAATGAGCCCCATTCCAAAGCAAGTCCACATTGGGGAACAGCAACAAAATTACGCTTTTAAGGTTCAGAGGCAACCATGTGGAACCTTAGTTGCAGATTGTTTGGCTCATCAGACTCACATTGACAGCAGAAGAGCATCTTTTACATCCGCTTCAAGTCAGTCTCTTGAAAACCAACCCACTGTGCCAGCAAACTCTGTCAAAGCCGTACAAGACATGTCTGCGAATATAGGAAAACTCCCACCAAAAGGACACAAAAGTCTATCAAAACACTCTGAGCAGATCACTGAAGCACTTGCACTGACAAAGAGAAAACCTGTCAGTCCGGAACGAAAACACCCAAGTGCAACTCATCAGGACTCTCTTGACCTATCATATAGAGAAGTACCAGAGGTCTTGGAAGATCCTCTCGCTATTGATTCTCATGAAAACCATCAAAAACAATCGATGAGAAGAGAGGATATTCAAAGAGCCCGCGACAGGGTCCTCATACAGCCGTGGCGTTCTTTCGACCAATCCCCTGACCAAGCCTCAGCACCTGCCAATTCTATCAAGGCTGTGCTTGACATGTCTTCGAAACCAACAGGCTCGAAAACGTTGGTACCCGACATGAGAATGGATGACTTTCTGACTAAAGGAATTCCCTTAACCAAAGGAAATCTCATCAACCGCCAAAGGGCACGAAACAATTCTCTTGGCGTTGCACTTATAAAAGACCTTCCCTCTCAAGAATCCTTTGAGTGGATTCAGTGTCTGGAATGGCAGAGCACAGTTTCCCTCCCACCCCAGTTAAAGTATTCAGATGCCGTATCATTAGCTGTGCCCCACACATCCGCTTCCGTCATTACCACCCGGGGAGGTCCATTGGACATGTCACCCAAGCCACCCGAGAACACAACAATAAAGGCCACGGAGTCTTCATTTGGGCTTCATGAAGCCGTTTCACTCATTAATAAGCCAAGTGCACGGGCAATGGCCAGGAAAGACTCTGTTGGCGTCCCACTCGTAGTGGAAGTAGAATCTACGTACCATAAGACACCTTCAGCCGAATCTCAACAAAGAAGGGTCTCTCTGACTGGACTCAACGCAACAGAGACCCACGACAGGGAGATATCCAACTGCCATACCAATGAGCTTTTATCCTCCACATACAAGCAAGTGCAGCAAGCGAACAAACCAGTGGACTTCTCTGCAAAAGACAGTGTAAACACAACACATATTTCCAGTATTTACACCGAACAAGAAGATGGACTGCCCATAAATTTCATGAATGTCAATGCAAGGAAAGAATCTTCAGAAATAGAACAAACTGGTAGGCAAATCAAAAAGAAGCTACTGCAAGGTTTAGTGGACCTGACTGTGGCTCCTCAAAGTAAGACCACAAATAGTCAGAGTGTGAGCGATCTTTCTGCACTTGCTTTGTATCAAAGATGCCAATACAGGCAACAGGAGTACAGAACAGCCCATATCCCTCAACAAATCTTTAAACACTCACCCTATGATCACAATACTCAACCAGGTATGACTGACCTCTCAGGAACACAGCTTCACTTTGCACCAAAATCCAGTATTCAACCAAAGCTCGATGGCATGTATCAACAGGCCAGGACAGTTGAAAGATTTGAAGCCAAGAAACTTGACCAAATAGATCCAAACATAACCCAAATCAGTCTTGAAGGTTACCGGACACCTGTAGATTCAGTTACTCCACTACCAATGGTGACAATGTCACAAAGACAAGAACCAAGTGTTCCTGTGAAACCCCAAATTCTCAACAAACACCCGACTGTGGCTAGCTTGGAGGAAAGCCCCTCACAAAGAGTCACAGTAAGTCATCAAAAGCCATCAGTTCCCCAGAAACATGTTCCTGAAACTATCAAGACCTCTCAACCTTTGAATTGTCAATCGTCCCCTGTGTCAGTTGTTATTCAAGAATCTGGAAAACCAACACTCGATAGTTCATCGAACTCTGTGGATGCTCTAATTTTGGGGTCAATCACACCCCCCCAATTATCAAAACAGCCTGACTCGAGACGATATCCTTTCAGTGTGGACCAAATTCATACACCAAATGCACTTTCAACTTCTACCAGTTCTACTCAGCATGCATCAGAATTTACAGCACTTATCTCACAACCAACTGCCTCAAAACACGAGCCTTTAAAGCAAACAAGGGAACAAAGTTTTAGACCTAATCTCCAAACAGGCGAACAAGGTATAAGACCGGAACTACAAAGACAGGAAGCGATGCCTTCACCCCAGTCAAGATCCTCTTGTGTCAAGGGATTAGTTTCATTGTTTAATAGTCAAGGTTCCCAGTTTCATGTCAGTGGAAAACCAGAAGTGACACCCCACCCTACTATAACCGGCTCTACGCTCGTGGACCAGAAGTCTCAGATTACCACGCAGATTGTTTATGGTGGGCATGTTGCACGTTCTCCCGATGCGAGCCTCTCGTCGGTAGTTAGTAGTTTATCGTCTGAGCCTGCAACACCGCGGAAAGACTCCCCTCCTCGACCATCACTCACTTCTGAATCCCATCGCAAAGTTAACATTTTCACACCCAATGGCTTGACCACGCAAGGATCCCTGACATCACTATCCACCGTCACAGTTCAGCTAGCCCAAAAAACACCAATATCAAGCTTGCCAAGATCAGAATCTTCATCATACGAACCAGGCAACACCACACCTTCCAAAGTCACCCTCAATAGAGACACTACATTGGAACCCTCGCTTAAATTGTCTGAGGAATCATCTGAAGCCATGCCAGAGGAACCCAACACAAAATCCCATCATCTAAGCACTGGATGTGACCAATTGCAGGATAAAATGAGCCTGCCCAGATCAATCTACATTGGCATTAATGCTCCAGACATGTCACCTGTTGATAAACTGATGGATCCAAACGAGCCAAGACAATATGTTCGACTTCCCCACATATTTGTCTCAGCTGCAAGTTCACCTGAAGAAGAGTCGACTGAAGACAATTCCAAAGAATCCAAAGAAGTCTACGCTGATGAAGGAACCACTGCAACTGCTGTAACCCCCTCAGAGCTTCGGAAGGATTCTGAACCTGCTGATGAAGATACGTTTTTGGATGATGGAGTTACAGATGTCATTAGCACAGAGAACACACCTTGCTTTTCCGAGAGTTTACTTCAGACGACAATAAATGATATGAATGCAGGTGATCAGAGCCAAGAAAAGGAACATTCCCTCACGGAAGCCTTCATTTCAGAAGCTGATCTCAAAGCAGAGAGCCATGCCGTTTATAAACCACCTGATGACAAACCAATCGCACAACCAGAACCAGATAAGCCACCAAGTAGCCTGACACCATCAGCCCACGACGCAGAAAAAAGTGCAGAATCTCCTGTTGAGGACAAAAGAACAATTTCAGAAATTGTATCACCTGACGACGAGTCTCTCAATAAACTGACTGAACAAACGTCGGAGATAAAACCCTCTAAAGTCATCCAACAACTTGATGACAAGACTGCAAACGATACCTCTTTTCCTGCTTCTGAATTCAGTTCTGTCAAAGAAGCTTCTAAGGAAGATGGTTCATCAGGCTTGCTTGATCAACTGCCCAATGAACAAGGAAAGGGTTTATGTTCCATGTCTGAGAGCTCTCCTGTAAGCCCAGAACAGACTGCTGGACTGTCAATACTTGGAGGCATTCTCCCTGGTTCAGCTAACAAAGATACAGCTGGTGCTGGTTTACTCTCAAAGTTTGGATCAAGTGACCCAGTGTCCCCCGAAACCACAGGACAATTACCCCAGTCAACTCTACAAGAGCAACAAGGAAAAGGTCTGCTCTCAATGTTTGGTGGGTCACATGTCGCATCTTCTCCTGAAACCAAAGGACCATCACCATCTTCAACCCCACAAAAAACACAAGGAAAAGATTTATCCTCAGTGTGTGGTGGGTCAAATGATCCAGCATCCCTTGAAATTAAAGAACCTTTACCTCAGTCAACCCCACATGAGCCACTAGGAAAAGGACTACTCTCAATGTTTGGTGTGTCAAATGTCCCAGTGTCCACTGGAACAAAGGGACCGGCGCCTTCTTCAACTCCACAAGAACCACGAGGAAAAGGTTTACTGTCAATGTTTGGTGGGTCAAACATTCCAGCATCCCTTGGAACCAAAGGACCACCACCTGCTTCAACCCCACAAGAAACACAAGGGAAAACGTTACTTTCCATGTTTGGAGGGTCAAACATACCAGCGTCTCCTGGAACCAAATCACCATCTCCTTCTTCAGCCGTACAAGAATCACAAGGAAAAGCTTTGTTCTCAATGTTTGGTGCCTCCAATAGTAATCCACCAGCCGGGCCAAGAGGCCCAACTGCTGGAAGTGTGCCACCAAGAGGTCCTCCACCTAAAGAACCGCCAGGAAAAACCTTGTTTTCCATGTTTGGCGGACCTGTGCCCCAGCAGGGGCCAAGTCCAAGAGGTCCTCCTCCAGCTAGTGCTGGATCTTCTTTATTCGGCGGCATTCTACAAAGTTCCTTGAATAAAGAAAGCCCAGGAACGGGCCTGTTCTCCAAATTTGGAGGCCCCACTGCCCCCGTTCAGAGTGGTCCAAGAATGTCTGCAGCAGGACAAACGGCACCAACAGGACCCAGAGCTTCAGAGCCCCCTGGAAAAGGACTGTTCTCGATGTTTGGTGGCCAAAATCAGCAGAATCAGACATCTGAATCAGAGAGTACTTTCAAAGTTTCTTCTGTGTTCTCTCTCGGAGGTAGTTCTGATGGAAACAAAGCCAAAACTGGCTTTGGGATGTTTGGAATGTCTTTCGCGGAGGAGTCCAAAAAAGAGCCACAATCAATTGTTCTTGGGAAGGTGGTGAGTAGTACAAGTGAAGATCTAAAATTTCCAGAAAAAAAAGAGGCTATCCCGACAGAGCCTAGCCCAAGTGAAGACGTAAAACCCCAAGAAACGAAAGAGCCTCTCGCGATGGAGCCTAGCCCAAGTGATCATTTAATACCCACAGAAACGAAAAAGGGTCTTGAGGCGGAGCCAAGCCCAAATGAAGACGTAAAACCCCCCGAGACCACAGATAATGTGGACCCTATGCCTTCCCCTTCACACCCGGATGACATTTCAACTGAAAGGGAACGTGAAGAAAACCAGGACTACCCAAAACAAACTTTTGACAATACTGTTCCAGCAACAGAAGAACACAAAACTGATAAAATTCCACTGTGCACTGAAAATAACTCTGATCTAGGGTCAGATACACCAAAGCTGATTCTTCTTCGAGAAAGTGGCTCTATGCACGATAAAGAAGTTGGGGTTTTGGGCAAACAATCAGACCAAATGAGTAGAGATGGCAGCAAAGAAGTTGGTGACTCAGAGATGGGAACAGAAATCAAAAGCCCTTCACTATCAGACATGAAAGACGGTGTTCTCAAATCTGAAACTATGACTTGTGATGATGATGCTAGACCTGATATGTGTGGGGTGAAGCATTTGCAAACTGGTATTGAAGACATACCGATTTCTGAGCTAAAAAAAGAACATGAACCTGAAGGAACCCCAAATATTCTCAGTAAAAATGAAGAACCCCACATTGAGCAATCAAATGTGAAAGAACAAACAGTAGATGCGGAAAAACCAACCAGTGAATCACCTGACGTTCCTGGCAATGAGGGTGGTATCGAGGTGGAGGAAGCAACTGTAGTCAAAGCAGAGGAACCCACCACAGAACCAATGACTTTGCTCCCACCCTTTGAAATGTCAGCGACTGCAACAGAACCAATTCAGGCAGAATCTTCAGCACAACTACCATTTGTACCAGACCAACCCTCTGATAGTTCTCTGCCAGCGGTTTTGACAACAGCTGAGGATAAAAGTCCTGGAAGAAACCCCCCAGAAATCATGCCTTCAGACACGGTGCACATTAAGTCTCCACCGGTGGGTCCTGATTTGCCTCCACTGCAAACCATACCCAGACCTCTCTCAGGTAGACCACCTGTCCCACAAGGACAAAGAATAGGAGCATCAAGACTGGGAGGCCCGCCACAGATGGGGGCACCGAGAATGCCTGGGCCCAGACCACCGGGCCCTCAGAAACCCTCTGAGCCAACTTCGTTTTCGGGCTTCATGTCTATGTTCTCCAACAGACCTAGCACACCAAGTAAACAACCAACTGTTGGTGGATTCTTTTCAAGGTCACCCGGTTCTCTCTTCGAGTCATCTGCTCCTCGTCAAGAGCAAAAAACACAACCACCACCACAAAAAAGCTCATTTTTTGGCCTTCCAAGTAGCATTGCCCCTGAATCCCTTACAGGAGACATTCTCAGTATGTTCAAGGGTCCTGAAGCGACTAAATCTGAGGAACCACAGCCTACATCAGAGAAGACTGAAGAACTTGTGAAGATCACAGAGGACTCCATCCCTGAAAAGGGTTCAGTAGATGAAGCAGAACATGCAGATAAGAAAGATGGCAAGGAATGTCCTATCCCTGAACAAGACATGGAAGTATCCCCCAAAAATTTAGAGGATGAGGAACACTCTGAGGTCTCTGACAAAGCAATGTCACTTCCTCCTCCTGCAGCCCAAGACCCTGCATCTGACACCAAAACCACCTTTGAAATGCCAAACCTTTCTGCACCTAAATTTAGCCTTTTATCCGTTGCAACTGAGGGAACATCATCAATCGGATCCTTGTTCTCGACATCTCCAACTGTGAATGCGAAACATTCTCAGCCCCCTCAGACAGATGGGGGTCTCTTCTCTGGATTTAAAAGTCTCTCAGTGGGCATTTTCCAGGATGAGAAGCAACCAGGAAAGGAAGAACCATCATCGGTGTTTGGCGCAAAACTAGGTTCGATTTTCGGAACTTCGGATTCTCCCAAGTCTACTGTTGTTATCACTGCTCAACCGCAGCCCCAAAGCCCGAAACCCACTGACATAGTGGACAAGCTCTCCCAATGCTCGGGAGACACAGAGAGCGACACGGAAGGGCCTAGTGGGACTTCTAAAACCGAAAGCTGTGACAGCCTTGCGGAGTCACCGCAGACAGGATTCGCTTCTGAGTCAGTGTCCCTGGCAGAATGTTCTAATGAACCCCAGGTACGAGCAGTTCCATGTGAGGAAGATGGCGACGTTGCAACACTGCTGAACACCGAGCCTTCGAAGAACCTCCTGACGCATAAAACTGCTCCAAGGCTAGTGCTTTTCATCATGCTAATGCTAGCTTCCCTTTCCTTTTATTTTTCATTTTCTACCCTTCCTGACTTACTCCATCCTTTGGTTAGATGTCAGTGTTTTTTTTTTTTTTTTTTTACATCAACTTCACGGCCATGAACAAACTAGCATGTCACTAAGTAAAGACCGGGCCTCTGGCAAGACCAAAAATTCGTCACTAAAAGTTTTGAAGCAGTTAGCCTTTAAAGAAGGAACCGAACCAAAAGTTCTCTTATTATCGAAACGCAACGCGTGTTTGCTTCAAGCTGGGTTTTTTTGTCACTCTGAGTTGAAGTTTATTGGAAAACTGACACGAAAAAACAAAAGATAATGAAATATTGTTTACGTAAACACCAAAATGTTCAACCAAACCACGTAACTTGGTCCACTGAAAGTCCGCTAGCTTAACGTCAACATAATCTGAAATGATAGTATGCTCATTAAAAATCATCAAACAGGCAGCTACTTTAACACGCATGGAGTAGCAACACATACGACAGAGCGAACGACAGTACTCACAGGCATAAGGCCTGCATTAAAAACTTATAGGAGACGATCTCTTGAAATTCCATGATAGAGCGGAGAAATCGACGACATAGTGGGGTTCATTTTACACCGAAGACAGTTTAGGCTTTCATGAACAAACAAAGGTTTGATGCCAATTTCAAGGTTAACGTGCAAGTTTTGTTCATGGGGCTAGCTGGTCAAAGCCTTTGCAAATGAAGAGTGCAGATGGGAACCTCTGCCAGGGAAGCGCTCAGCATTTCGTGTCCAGCTACAACAGCTAGCGCTTATGTGAGAGCGTCACAGCTTTCTTGACAGAGACGAAGAGGCCGAGGATCTTTTTATTTGCGAGGTGTGTGTAATTCGCCCTACGTGTACATCGCTGCGCACAGTGACGGCCAATTTCTTCTATGAATCAATGCGGGCGGGATAGATTCACGACTGCGTGGCGGTGCAGACGGGAATAAAAGGAGGGGCGGGAGAGGCTGTTTGGAGCGCAGCCAAGACAAAGTAAATCACCGCCACTTTCCTCGTTAGCCGTCGGCGTCCCGGCCCAGCCTTGCAGACGTCTGCTGGCTTTCACCTCTAAAGCTTTACTCCCAACATTCACATGTTGTCAGCAAGTCTACCGTAGTCTGCATTGAGGATGTTTTGGAAATTCAGCCCTTGAAACCATTTTCAAATCGCAAAATGAAATTTGGGATCGATGTCGATCATGAGTAAACCTGCAACAAAGACTCAATAAGCCATGCCTGAAAAGACGCAGTAAGTCTGACATTGTGGTTTGAAGTGAACATTTTAGTTTAAATGGGTCATTTTTAGGGGTCTTTCAAAAACAAAGTTGTCCCACAGCTTGGGGGGGAGAAAAATTCCTGCCTCCAAGACAGTTTGACTGAACAAAATGAAGGGCTTTTGAAATGTCTGATCATTCAACAACCAGAAACAGTTTCATCAAGCAATGTGGAATTTGGTTGTCATGTCCATCAGCAGTAGACCCACAAAAAAGTCTCATTAAAGGAAACGGGCAGTCTGCTCGTTAGGGCAAATTTTGTCATTTCTCAGCTTGCATCAAAGAGGAAATAGATTTTTTTTTTTTTATCGGGCCTTTGAAGCCACTTTAATTTGGCAACCTGAAATTTGGTTGGCAGGCAAAAATGTGTCAAGAAGCTATGCCTGAAGAGACACAAGAAGTCTGACATTTTGGAAAAAAGCTGACTCCACCCCCCCCCCCCCCCCCCCCCCCCACCCCCCAAAAAAAATGCCAACTTCCAATAGAAGTTACCCATCCAACCAGCCTAGCTCCCTGTATTTGGCCCTTATTGATATTTCTTTGAATAGTATTTCTGTTCCGAAAAAACCTGAATATACCACGTTATTCAACATGACACTAAACAACCTGATCCCCGCTTTCCAATAGTGTGACTCAGAGCAGTCGCTTGGACTCTTTGGACGTCAGCCCGAGCAGCTCCCAGCTCAGCTCCGAACTCGAGTCGGGCCATCCGCCGGGGGGGTGCCTGCACCCCCCTCTCCAGGGCACCCAAGCGCCCACGTGGGAGCAGGACAAGGCGGAGAGTCTCGCACCGGACACCACTGAGTTGAGGGACACCTCCGTCCTGCCATCCAAACCCGTCTGGGACAGCGACGATAACAAGACCACGACCGACATCTGGTATGAGCTAGCGATGTGAAATGCTATTGCAATATTTGGTCAACCATAATACAACGATTACAGTCGAACCTCGTTACAACGTACCCCCGAGGGATGAATCTCTACATTCCAATGGCATTGCTACTGTACGTTGAGAGCTAACGATACCATATGTTGATATAAATCAAACAAAAGCAACGATGTGATAGTTGAAACTGTGGAGGAAAACTGCTATGAGATAAATGAGCGAGGTGATACTCTGGATCCAGCCAATTAATTTCTTTTTTTTTTTCTCTCGATCAGGGTGTCGCCAGACGATCCTCCTCAGTGTTCTCCTTCAAGGATCCGCTGGCTCAAATCATACTCCAGAGTCAGGGCCAATCTCCTCCTGGTAGGACGACTCACGCTATCCGTTATTTTCCCCCACAACCCGATTTCGCTTTCATCCCGACTTCACTGTGGCTCGGTTGATTTTCTGCCAGCGATTTGCACAAATTTGGTCTCGGGTTTAATGCCGATTGTTGCACTGCGAGTCTGTGGATCGTTTCAGATGTGAATACCGGTTGTTCTTCTGCAAGTTGGTGGGTCATTGCCGGCTTAAATGCCGATTGCTGCGCTGCCGATGTGCAAATAGTTCAAGGCTTTAATTCTTATTGCTATGCGGTGATGGATGGTTGCAAACTTTAATGCTAACTGTATTGCTGTACGTGCGCTGATAGTTCCAGGTTTTGAAGCAAATATTTCCAGGCTTTATTGCTGATTCTTATGCTGCAAATGTGTGGCGAGTTCCTGGCTTTAATGCTAATTGTTGTTCGGAAAGGGGATACGTCGCTCTTTGCTTTAATGCCGATTGCTATGCTGCAAGTGTGTGGAGAGTTCTTGACTTCAGTGTGGATTGCTGTGCTGAAAGTGTGAGGATAATTTTTGGCTTTAATGCTGTTGTTTCCTTGCTTTCATAATTTGTTTTGCTGCAACTGTGAGGATGCTAGTTCCAGGCTTTAATTCTGATTGCAGCGCTATACGTGTATGCTCTTCTTTCATTTTTCATGGCTTGTTGTTATGTCGGAAAATCAGAATTGAGTGGGGATATTTTTTTCCCCTCGGCATGATCGAAAATAGTCTTTTTTTTGTCTCCATGGTCAGTATCGGCATGGCAACCATATGACATTTCTGCGGCCCCTCGACTTGCTTATGGCAGGCAGCCTTTCTACATTTATTCTCTTCCTCGCTTCCTCACCTGCTGTCTTGTGCGCTCGAGTGTCACTTTCCATTCAATGAGTGCAAGATGGCCGTCATCAGTTATCACTGACCACAGGAGTGATCGGTTGAATCATGTGACAGGTGCGTAGTGGTCAACAACGTCTCGTGTTCTGTCATCGTACAGGATGAAATGAATGCGTGCAATTAAAAAAATGGATGCTCCTCCGCCAAGGAGTTTTCTGTCATGTTCTTTTTGCGTTTGACTTATCAGGATGGCACAAAATGACTACTAATTTCTGGAACAACTTTGAGAGAGGAGGAAGGTGGGAGGAGGTGCACGGTAGTGCAGTGCGAGGGAGGGCGCAAGGGTGGAGGGCTTCAAGGGACAAGCCATTACATTTTGGTGGGGATCCAAGTTTTTTTTTTTGTTTTGTTTTTTTTTTCCACTTTTGTTAACTTTTTTTTCCTTCTTGGCAGGCGTCCGCGGTGCACGGCTGAGTGCTCTTGTTCTAAATAAGTCGTTTTATTGCAAGGATGGATGGATTCCTTCTATCAGGAGGGCGGCGTGAAGCCTTCATAGAAGACTTCATATTGAATTCTTCGATGTTTGGAGGCTTTTATGCAACATGAATAACTGGCAAGACTATGTCAAGTCTTCATCCCACGCAGACATGTCCCAGCGTCTGACTTTTAGGACTTTATTTATTTGCGGTCCATTTCTCTTTTGTGTTACGTTGGTTTTCTTGAACAATTTCCAATTTCCAGGGAATTCCAGTTTCGTCTATGATGCATCTATTTGACACGCACTTGTGCCATGGAATTTTTTTTCCCCGTCTAGGGATTTTATGCATTATTTCAAGACATTTTCAGGAGAATGGAGGTGTCGAAGAGGCGCAGACCCGTGAAAAGCATATGTGAGGCTGGCACGAGTGGAAAACTAAAACCTACATGTGTAGGTTGATTTTATTTTTATTTTTTAATGTGAGAAAGCGGGAGGTAGAGGTGTGTGAGAATGAGTGAGGCAGAGGGTGAGAGCACCAGGTGGGGAAGGAGGGGGGGAGAGAGAGAGAGAGAGAGAGAGAGAGAGAGGAAGAATGGAAGGTGAGAGTATAGGGGAAGAGAGTAAGGAAAGAATGGACAGTGAAATGAGAGGAAGGGAATTTGGAGCGAGAAAGCAAGAGTAGGCTTCGGAAGAAAAGAGAGTGATAGAGGAAAGGAAAGGGAAAGGGGGAAGATGGAGAAGGGTAAAAGAGGCGGAGCGGGAAAGAGGGAGGGGGAGAGAGAGGGAAAGGAGGGTGACAGAAAGGGAGAGAGGAGGGAGAGATGAGATGAGATGAGTGAGGGAAGGAAGCAGGGATGGAGAGACAGAGAGCAAGCGAGAGAGAGAGAGAGAGAGAGAGAGAGAGAGAGAGAGAGTGCGAGAACTGAGCAACTCCATCAGTGATTAGAAGGAAGAGGAGGAGGAAGGACAATGAGGATGAGGATGAAGATGGGTCTCGCCATGATCCCGATTGGACATACAAACAGGTCGGAATGGATTTGAGTGGCAGCCCAACAGAAACATGCCACAAAATCCACTTTGGAGGATTTGTCCGGCAACTCTCGAGCCGATCTTCACGCTGCGGGTAAGTGCACGGCGACCTTTTATTCATGAAGGAGAGGAGACATTTGACGAACAAACGCAAGTTGCACATCCTTATGGGACCCCCCCGACGCGCCGTTGCATCCTCAAATGCCAAGCGCTTTCTATTTTTAACCAATCACGCTGCACTTTCACCCTCCTGCGAATCTCTCACTTAGCAGCAGAGTGAGACATCCTGACGGGATCTTTGTCTAGCCGCGGATTTGTCTCGCGGCTTGCATCGGATGGCCCGGCGGTTCGATTCCCAGCAGTCGGGAAGACGGGCAAGAAAGTCATGACATACAGAAAGTCAGCCCGGGGGGGGCGGGGCTTAGACCTCTGCCAAGGCTTTTGGCAGGCGCTAAAAGGGCGACAACTTGGGAGGCAGCCAATAAGAAAGCCGCAATAGGAAGTAATGCAAATAACCGAAACTTCCTGGCACTTTGGATTCTCTGTCTTGAGTTCATGGAACTAAATGGTTCCAGTCCAATATGTGTCGACTCAAAAGTTCCCGGACCGCTTAAAAGTCCTACCGCCCCAGCAAGGCCTTTTTTGGTCCCCGATGAACTTCTCTGGAACCAGACAATAATTCTTATGAGGGCCGACCAATTACAATTGATTTCTTTGGAGGCCGATTCATATAATCGGCAGAATAAAATTCCGATAACCGTTCAATTGGCAAGACACAAAGGTTTTTGGACCTCTACAAAATACTGAGCACAATCTTTTTGTTGTTGTTATTTTAAGCTCTGATTAACCACCCTGAAACAGAAAGTTCCTGGTTGTGACATCTACTCGTTGTGAATTCTACCAGTGAAGCAAAATTTAACTAGTAGCATTTTTTAAAAATAATAACAAACGTCACTCGTAGTACAAAAACTAGTAACACAGGGATGTCAACTAAGTTTTTCCTTAAGAGTAACATGTTCTACGAGTATGGTTAAGTGTGGTGAGAGGAAGCTAAAGCCGTTAGCGCCAGCAGGCTAACAGCTTGTCATTCACTTGAGTGGCGCCGAGAGGGAAGAGAAGGCTGATTGGATTACACTTCCCAGAATGCACTCTTGACGGACACGCCTTGAGTGCGCATGTGTCTCCGTGTCTGCGTGTGTGTGTGTGTGTGTGTGTGTGTGTGTGTGTGTGTGTGTGTGTGTGTGTGGTGATGCTAACTCAATTAGCTTGCGTGGGACAACCAGGCTAATGAAGGCGGCAGACATGACTCAGTCCCATATTCGTTGGTGTGTTGTTTTTTGTCCTCGTTGTGATGTTTGTGTGTGTGTGTGTGTGTGTGTGTGTGTGTGTGTGTGTGTGTGTGTGTGTGTCAAACCCACTGTAAAGGTTCCTGGAGCACTCAAAAGTTTCAAGTCCCAAGCAAGGATCTACTTCAACTCCCGTTAAACACTTTTTTGGGTTCCACCTCTGCCACGATTTGTGATCTTTCGCTAAATTCCTCTCAACTACTCCCTTATTTCTTGTCATCTCGGAGATGTAGCGGCTCCCCAATGGCGTGCAGTTGTCACCGAGGGCTGTTTTTATCTCAATCGAAGTTGAGCAGAGGAGTTTTCATATTGACGTCTGGCCTCGCTTCATTCACGCTCTTTTCTTTATTGCCTCCAACAGAAAAAAAAAAAAAAGTCTGATTGATGGCTAGCGGCCGCGCTGTCTTAAAGCTCCCCCATCGATCGTCTCGACGTGAAACGGTCGCATGAGCAAGGCCGCCGTTTAGTGACGATCGATAATGTCTTCGGAAGGAGGAAATCGTGGGTAGAGGCAAATCGGAGTGTCAGTTGCGATTCGTTTGAGTGTCAAAATGTTGCCCCCTCCGCGCCCCCACACAGCCGCAATTTTTGTACATGAAGAAACGGAAACGTGACGAGAGCGTGACAGGCTAACAGGCTGGTAATGCCGCCACATGTCAAAACGGAGCACTTTTGTTGTCACTCAAAGCTGCAAATCAAACGTCAATTGACCGATGGATTTCTAGGTCTGTAAGTGGGGGGGCGGGGGCGGGTCAAATGCACCTGAAGATCCTACTATTTGTTTTGCAATCTTGAAAGGGCCTGGCCCCACCTTCCCCCTCGGAGCTCGTCCGCCACCTGCGCCCCGGCCCCAAAAAAACAGTCATCACGTAGCTTCGCTTCACTGCTAATGCTAATGTCATCCATTGGGAAAGGAGCCAAAGTGAAGTGGCCGCTGAGTGCGCTTCCCAAAGTTAAGAGCGATTCCCAGAGAGACCAAAACGCCTTCGGTGCCAGACGCAGCAAATTGAAAAATGACCAAATGTGGAACATCAAAGGGGAGCGTCGAGATGAAAATGTATTTCAACAGGAATCAAAGTTAGCCTGAAGCTAACGCCAGTCAGCACATTAAGGCACTTTATGGATCTGCTTAACGATGTCAAAGTGCTTTGACGTGAAAAGCGCCGCTGAACCCTTGAAGCGAGAAAAGTGTGGCTGTCGCCACGGCGCATTAGGTAGAGTGCGTGAACTTTTTAAATGAAATGAGTTCTCTTGAAATAAAACCGTTGGTTGCATTTCTTATCAGCTTGGAAGCAGTTGCTTTCGCTTCTCTCT